TGAAGCTCATCTTGGGAAATTTAATTTAAGTGTTCAAAATGAATCAAATTCCAAGAAATATTTAATTTGGGAATTGATTTTACATCCTGATTGGGATTTTAATCATGAGAAATTTGATGCTGATCTGTCAATCGCCGTGACTAAGCAATCAATACAATTTAGCAATTACATCCGCCCAGTGTGCTTGCCGTCTTTAAGTTATGATGAAATTAATGGAATTGGAAGTGTCGTTGGGTGGGGAAAAAGTTCTGAGTATGAATTACACGCGATAGTTCCTTCAAAATTAAATCTTCCTGCAATTAACGCTTCACATTGTTACACGAAATTCCCTGAGTTGGCAGCGTTCTCTTCAAATCGGGCATTTTGTGGTGGTTTTGAAAATGAAGGGAGAAGTCCATGTTTAGGTGACAGTGGCGGTGGATTTTACTTCGATGTGAATGACATTTGGATCATTCGTGGAGTTATTTCAGCATCTTCATTTGATTCGATAACAGGTTGTGATATTAATAAGTTCTCAATTTATACAAACATTCCTCGATTTGTTGATTGGATAACCACAACTATGAGTGACACGAAAGAAATTAAATGGATTGATTGGATGTTCACGTGTGAAAATAAATTTGCTACGGATATTCCAAATGATGTCATCTGTGAACCAGTGAATTGTCAAGAGGCAACAGTTCGTAGTGTTAAAATGAGAATTGAAGAACTATTTGACAAAAGCATCATCACGAATCTTACAATTTTGACGGGAAGAACATCGTCTTACATTCCTACCAACATTGGCAAACTCTTTCATAAATTAAAAACACTAAAAATTGAACTTGGAGATGATATCAAAATATTGGAAAGAGAAACTTTTAAAGATTTGGAAAATTTAGAGAACTTGGACATTCGAATGTCATCTGTTAATAATATTTTCATTGCAGATGATCTTCTCCACGATTTACATAATCTCAAAGAATTAACAATGGCCACTAAACTTTATTTAATTCCTATGAATTTTCTGAAACAAGCGAGAAACTTACGGACATTGAAGTTTTATCCAAAGTTACAATGGGAACATGAACATATTCCTGCTGTCAACTTTTTTTCAAACATCAGTTCTATTGAAGAATTGTATAATACAATAATCAAGTTCATAATGGAAAGAAACTTTGGATGTCTCCCGATTCTTTTAACCATTTAAGCAATTTGAAAAAACTTCAATTCCGTGCTGTAGATGTTGATTGGTCGGAAAATTCGTTGCAAGATTTAAGAAATTCAAGAGAATTTTCATACCAGTCATACCGGGGTGGGAACATGACAAAGCTTTTCAAAAAATTTTTCAAAAACAATTTAAATTTGGAAGATATTCGATTTCGGAGAACTCCCTTTGAAGAAATTGACTTGGATTTCACAACACTTCCGAAACTTAAAAGAATTGATTTAGAATATTGTGGTTGCGTATCCGATTACACAAATTACATTAAAGACGAAACATCAATGACGATACAAGAATTTCAAGATCACATTGATGAAAGCTGTAAGAAGTGAATTGATAACAAGAAAACCAAATGTTTATTCTTTATGAAATTAAACTTTTATTATCTTCACAAAATGTTCTTAAAACACCAAAAAAAAAAAACAAAAAGAGAAAAGTGTTAGATTCGAATCTCATCATTCATTAAGAAAGTTAAATACATTAGAAGCTCGTAGAATTACAACCTTAAAATATTTATGGCATATAAAATTAAAAGAAAAAAAAATGCGAAGGGATGAAAACGACATAAAAAGATAAAAAGAAGAGGGAAATGCAAGCTGTAAATGTAATTAAAATTTTCCTTTTTTTTCTTCAACGCTTAAACGTGAAAGCAAAAGCTTGACGAGCGAGAAGAAAAATAAGTTAAAAGGCAATTTAAAAAGAAGAAAAACACTTAACTGAGGTAAGCATTCTGAAAATCTTAATGATGAAAAGGTTCATTAAATTTTTAAGAGAGCTCTTAAATATTAACACCAATATTCTTCTTCATTTCTTTAAACTTTTTTTTTTTTTGATTTTACGTGGTTGAAAAAAGCTCGCCATATCCATTCAAAACATTCATTGTCAGTCTTCATTGCAAAGCTCTTTTTTAATAGAAATTTTATGAATTTGGTTTGCTGGTAATTTTACTGAAAGTCGGTGCGAGTAACAAAAGGATTTATTTGAAGAATTTAAAAGATATTACATTCAAATATTCCTCACCATATAATTTCTAAGCGGTTTAAGCAGCAAATCGATAGAAGTTAAAGAAACGTAAGGAAAAGTTTGTGCTGACGTTGAACGTAAATTTACGTAACGTAAGTTTACGTTGAAGAGTAACGTACGTAACTCTGTTAAAAGTTAAAAAGATAAAATAAAAATAATTTTGCAACTCTCATTTCATATTCATTCGATTACACATGATTTTTTATGTTTTTCTTTTTTGTTGAACTTCTCCCTTCTAGAATATTTAATCACTTTTGGAAGGAATATTTCATTCATTCCGACATTTTAAGATTATCAAGCATGTCAAAATTCATTTTTAAGTATCACTCGTCACTTTCTTCATATTATCAGACAATGAAATTTATCAAGCAGTTGAGTCAATGATCTGAGCATTATCATTGTTAATCGTCGTTTCATTAGCATTCAAATCAGCTGACATTAAATTTCCATTAGAAAGCATCACCGGTGCTATCGGTAGACTGTTAATGGTATTGAAGTTAGTTTCTTCGAGATCTCGTTGCATTTTAGCAAGCTCCGGACAATCTTTAACAATATTTTGAATGTTGTTCAAAGTCTACGAAAACGAGATAAAAAATAAAGATGTTTAAAGGAAGGGAGATAAAAGGAAACGTTAAGTATTATTTTCACCTCGAGAGCGCTATCGATAGCTTCATATTGTCGTTTAGCTTCTGCCATCGCTTGATGCCAACTACTTGTCATGATGTCATTTGAATTTGATGCGTTGTTGGCAATCTCAAGCAATTGACGTTCCTTTTCACGAAGTTTTTCTTTCAATAATGGAATCTGATAGTGATTTAAAGTATAAAGTTGAGAATCTGAAGATTTTTCTTTCAATAACAACAAACTCACCTCTCGACAAGCTTTCACAACATTCGAAACAATATCACAATCTGGAGTGCATCCAGTTTCTTGCCAAGTCTTCAATGCATTCAAAATCTCATCTTTGTCGATTTTGTTCGTGTCATTAGCGTTCTTCTCACTGCACAATGTGCTAAGATTGCAAATATCTTCATTCAAGCGCTATTGATGATGAAATTAAATATTTGAAATAAGAAAGCTTTAATTTTATTTAAATTAAAACTTACGTCAATCTCTTGACGATGCTTTTGCAACTCAGCTCGACTATTCATCAGCTCATTGCTTGTAGCAATCAATTGCTGAGCTGATTCTCTCAACTCGGACTTTAACTTTTGATTAATCATCTCCCATTCGTTAACTTTATCCAAAGTTTCTTCCTTCTTCACCTGAATCCTATTTCTAAGATAATTTATCATCATTAATTCTCAAACTTCACCATACATCTCACGTAGAGACGTCTTCAACTTACTTATCTGTCACCAACTCTTGAATGCAGTTCTCATTATCCATCTGGATGATTCGTAGAACTTTCAAGAGTTTCGTTACTGAGTTGTCAACACAAATGACTTGATCAACAAGAGCTTGAGCTGTACAGAAATCACCAATGGATGGAACTTCAGCAACAGACTCTTGACCACAACTGATGTCATCAGATGTGTTACTTTGGTCTTGTCTTAAAGCAGATCTCGTCGCCATCGCACCAGTTTGAAGCTCAATTTGTCGTCGATTTGCAATGGCTTGAGATAAATTATCCAACGAACCATCATCGTCATCGTTCAATGAAGTCTTGAATATCTCTGAAGGAACTTCAATTTGTGAAATCATAATCTGCGATGACGAGACAAGATTCTGTGAATGCTGTGAATGTGAATCAGGCAATTGAACATCTTCAAGCGCATTATCCATTATCAAACACGGCTCTGTCTCAGAATCAAGCATTTCAGTTGAATCTTCATCTTCTTCAACCATTTCCTTCTTTTCATTGCTTGTCTTTGTTGTTGATGTCGTTGCATTTCGAATTGCATTGATGATGGCAGTCAAGAATGATTGACCTTTCGTTGGCGACTTTTCACATGATGTTGACGGTGACTCATATTCGGGACTTTCGCTGTTACTGTTTGAATAAGCATCATTGAAGAAAACTATGTCCTAGAAAGATAAGAAAATAAAATTCAGAAGTTGTTTTAAGTCTGATTTAAATGTTTTTTGTGTCTTCTGATAAGAATAATTAAACATTTGAAAGCATCTACTGCTGATAACATCTTAATTTACTTATTTACAAATGAAAGATGTCAAAGATAAAAATTTAGTCTAGAAAACAATCAAATGAAGTAGGAAATGATGATGAGGAATTAACAAATAAAAAATAAAATCAATTAAAATAAAGAACAATCAAATCGTGCACGAACTCGCAAATATCTTAAACGATCTGAAACAATCGTTTGGACTCTAAACCAAATATAATTGAAGGTTTGTTATTTAGAGTTAATCTTATCAAATGAGATGATAATAAAATGAATTGCTTTACATGAACACACAAAAATAAAAATATTTCACTTGCAACTTCATTTGTTTTTAGGAGAGCATTTAAGTTAGTCAAGAGTTAATTAAGTGATAAAAAATGACGAAAAATGTAATGATGATAGAGAAAGAAGCAAATGTTGGTCTTAAGGCGAGAACTGTCTTGTGGTATTTGACATTTTTTGGATTTGCCATTAATTATATTATTCGGATAAACATTTCAATTGCTATCGTTGACATGATCAATCCAAATTACAAGAGATCATCGAGTAATAGGACGATAATAACTTCAGAATGTATTGTCGTGAGCAACACGTCAAATTCACCGGAATTAAGTAATGAAAGCAATTTAGAAGGCAATTTGAAATATGTTTCAATAGAACGACGTCTGCTAGATTTTTTGGAGGTTTGTCACTTGCCTGCCTCCATTCTCAATGACTTTTTCAATTTGTTATTCATGTCTCATAGATTGATTACGATCCCAAAGGCTTTCAATGGGATGAACATCAGCAGTCTAAAGTTTTAGGGTCTTTCTTTTGGTTACATTGGGTGACACAAGTTCCTGGTGGGATTTTTGCAGCAAGATATGGAACAAAGTTTGTTTTCGGCTTTGCCAACTTCATTGCGTGTCTTATGTGCTTTTTCATGCCAATCGTTTGTTATTTGGATTATCGATGGATGGTTGCTTTTAGACTTGTACAAGGATTTATTGCTGGTGTAGCATGGCCGGCAATGCATCATTTGACCGGCAAATGGATTCCACCAAATGAGAGAAGTAAGTTTGTCACAGCTTATCTTGGAAGTTCAATTGGTGTTGCTGTCGCTTATCCCATCTTTGGATTTATAATCAAAGCAAGTTCATGGGAGTGGGTGTTTCACTCTTGTGGTATTGCTGGTAGCATCTGGTTCATCTTTTGGCTTTACTATGTAAGACATTCTTTCCTTTGAGACATTTTGAAGACTTAATACTTGAAGCATTAACCGTAAATTTTCTTTTGAACATTTGCCAACTAACAAGGTTTACGATTCACCAGAAAACCATCCAAGAATTCATGCGAAAGAAAAAGAATACATTTTGAAGTGTCTAGGTTCATCGGTCATTCAGAACAGTAAAGAAAAGCGAAACGTTCCATGGAAAGCAATTCTAACATCGAAAGTTGTTTGGATTAATACTTTAGCACAATGGGGTGGTATTTGGGGACTTTTTACTCTTCTTACACAAGCTCCAACATATTTCCGATTCATTCATGGTTGGGGAATTGAAATGACTGGAATCTTATCAGGTCTTCCACATTTAATGCGCGTCGGCTTTTCAATGGCTTTCTCAAGTCTCGGTGACTATCTTTTGTCAACCAATAAAATGTCGAGAAATAACGTCAGACGATTAGCAGCATTTTTCAGTAAGTAGCATTGGAAAGAATTTCACGACATAGAATTTAAGAGAATTTTTCTTTTTATAAAATTATTCAATGAAGGTTTGGTGTTAAATGGATTTGCTGTCCTTGCAATGGCTTATACTGGATGTAGTGTAACTACTGCAGTTCTTTTCTACACCATGTCTCTTTCACTGCACGGTGCAGTCTCAACAGGCGCTTTATCAAGCATCGTCGACATTGCACCAAACTACGCTGGAATCACGATGGGACTTACAAGTTCCATTGCTATCATATCTGGATTTGTTTCACCGATTGTCGTTGGCTATATGACGTTTGAAAATCAAAGTATCGTTGCATGGCAACACATCTTTCAACTTTGTGCTGCAATGCTATTTGTTACCGGGATTATTTACATCTGGTTCAATGACACGTCAATTCAACCATGGAACAAAATAAAACAAGATTCTGAACCACCAAAGGAACTTTTACCACTCTACTTAGAGCTTGACGATTGTGAAACAAAAAAGATGATAAAGAAGGAAAATGAACTTGAAATGAACACTCGAAGTTAATCTCAGTTACGCAATTGTCGACTTATCTTTTCTCAAAAGATTTAAAATACTTGAGTTAGTTGTATGTGAAAACTTTTTTAAATGAAGCACTTGAAAATGCTATAAAAATCTTTGATTTGTAATAAAGAAATTTTTTGCTGTTATGAAGAATGGCAAAAGCTTGACTTACATGTATATCCTTGAATCATTATCTTATTTAATTATTTAATGAAGATAACAAAAGATCAACATGCCATGTTAAATAAATATTTGGTAATTGTTTATTTTTCGTAGTCTTAAACTAGTTAAGAGATTTTCAGAATATTCTTATTGCTTGTGCAACACATTAGATTAATGAGATTACTCGATAAAACATGGTTTCAAAATCAGCTTTTAAACCAATTGAAAAGGAAGGTAAAATTGGGTTTAAAGCTAGAAATGTCTTGTGGTATTTGACGTTTTCTGGTTTTGCAATCAACTACATGATACGAGTCAACGTTTCGATTGCGATTGTTGACATGATAGATACGAACTTTAAGAAATTATCAAGTGAGAAAAAGGTTGTGACGTCAGAATGTATTGTCGAGCAGAATCTTACGACGACACCGGAACTAAATAATAAAAGTTATTTAGAAGATAACTTAAAATACGTTTCAATAGAGCGACGACTTTTAGATTTTTTGGGGGTATGTCTAAGTGAAATTGTTAATTCAATGTTTTCAGTCACAATTTATCATAATTCATGTGACAGGTAGAGTATGAACGTGATGGCTTTAAGTGGGATGAACATCAACAATCTCATGTTTTAGGATCGTTTTATTGGTTGCATTGGTTGACACAATTACCAGGCGGGATATTAGCAACAAAATATGGCACGAAATATATTTTCCTCTTCTCAAATTTATTCGCATGTTTACTTTGCATAATAATGCCAATTTCATGTTATTTTAATTATCGATGGATGACATTTTTGCGAGTTATTCAAGGTTTTATTGCTGGATTTGCATGGCCTGGTATAGCAATTAAATATTTTTTTCTTTTTCGCTTTAAAACGTGTCAAAATGTTTCTCTCTTCATTCAGCTATGAATAGTTTAACAAGCAAATGGATTCCTCCAAATGAAAGAAGCAAATTCATTTCATCGTATCAAGGTAGCTCGATAGGAGTCGCTATTTCTTTACCTATTTTAGGATACATTATCAAGATCAGTTCTTGGGAGTGGGCTTTTCATTCGTGCGCAATTTGTGGCGTTATTTGGAGTATTTGTTGGCTATATTACGTAAGGTGAAAATATTTTTTGAAAGGTCATTTGACACTTGAAATACATCATAAAAAGGTTTATGACTCCCCTGAAAACCACCCACGCATTCATCCTAAAGAAAAAGAATACATTTTGAAGAGTCTCGGTTCATCAGTAATTCGGAGTGATGAGAAGAAAATTGAGACGCCATGGAAAGAAATTTTGACATCGAAACCAGTTTGGATTCACTCTTTGGCACAGTGGGGTGGCATTTGGGGAATTTTCACTATAATGACACAAGCACCTACGTACTTTCGTTTCATTCATGGTTGGGGAATTGAGATGGCGGGAATCTTATCAGGCTTCCCACATTTGTTACGCGTTACTTTTGCTATTTTATTTTCTCTGGCCGGCGACTACATTTTGTCAAAAAATATGATGACGAGAAGTAATTTGAGAAAATTGGCGACATTTTTCAGTAAGTGAAAATCATATCCATCAATATTCAATAATTATACTTCCTAATTTAGGTTTGATTGTGAATGGACTTGCTGTTATATGTTTTGCATTGTCTGGTTGTAATGTTGTGTCAGCAGTTTTCTTTCTAACATTTTCCCTCGCAATGCATGGTGCAGTGTCGACAGGAGTATTAGCAAGCATTGTTGATATTAGTCCAAACTTTTCATCAATTACATTGGGTATTGTAAGCACTGTTTCAATTATGACTGGATTCGTGTCACCAATCGTCGTTGGTTACATAACATTTGAGAATCAAAGTGTTCAAGCATGGCAATATATTTTCTTGATTTGTGCAGCAAAGCAACTTTTCTGTGGAACAATTTTCATACTTTTTAATGACTCTTCGCTTCAATCTTGGAATAATCCAAAGATAGAAACAACACAAAACATTAAAGAAATGAAGGCATTGAATGTTGACATTGAAGAAAAAAATGACGAATAGTTTATTTGTTCAGTTGCTTAAATTGTTTCACCAGAGACGATAAGTTTAGACTAAAAATAAAATTTAGTTTTCTATCAAACTCATTAAGGTATCAGTCGATGAAATAAAATATTCTTGTGTACAACAAAAATGAATTTTAGTCCAATTGCAAAGCTGATGATAGTCCTTGCTGCTTCGGTATTTCAATAAATTTCTTTTAAATAAGTTCATCAAAGTGATAAATTGTTTGCTAACTTTAGGTTTATTGGTTTCTAAAGCCAAACTTCATAGCGGTTGAAGTTGATGACTGTTTGTTGATGTTGCGTGAGAAATTCAACCACACAATGTTTAATCTAATGATGGAGGACAACAAGAGCATAGGAAAGATTCAAGAAGGATATTTCCTTCTAAATATAAGCATTATTGATGAGTTTGTTCAGTTTTCTCACGAGCATATTGGTGTTGGAAAGGTGACTAATGAAGAAATTCACAAATTCACGCAATATTATTATCCATACATAAAGAAAGCTTCAACGGAACTTGAAGAGCTTTATGGTGTTATGCAACTTGTCGACTTAAGAACGAAAGAATTTCACCAGCTTTACGACAGCATCAATTCTGAACTTCAAATAGAACTCGGAAAAATTCGAGAAGCTGTCAACAAGAAGCCAAAATCCAAATCATGTTGGACAAGAAATAAAAACATTATTTGCTCGCATTTCGAATCGATTGCTCAAAACATTGATGATATTATTAGAATCGAAGCTCGATATATGGAAAGAAACATGACTAAACTATCGGATCGTTTAAAAGATACAATTAGTATTCCCATGAACTGTTTTGAACGATGCATTGCTGAATATATTTCACAAATTAAACAATGTTTACCTAACAGTGTGAGTACACGAATTTAAAATTATTGATGAATTATCTACAAAGATTTCTTTTTAGATCAAAGATGATATTGAAATATTTGACCATCAAGTTAAATTTATAAATGATGAAGTAACGAAAATTTACAAACAAAGACTTCAAACAGCGACAACTAAAATTGAAGAATACTTCAACAAAAATAAATCAGAATGGAAATCATTTCTTGATAAGCGTGTTTACAAGTGCATTGAAAATACGAAGGCAAAATAAATAAAAACATTACTAGAAATAATGATTAATTACGCCCTCAAAGATTGAATTTTATCATGAAATATTTATTTTCTAGAGACTTTGATAAGATTTATTTAATATTTCAGTTATATCTGATTTCTGCGTTGTAGTGCGTTGTTCTTTAAAGAACTAACATCTTCTGACACGTATCACCTGACTTACACTGCAAAATATCAGCATAAATTATATAAACAGGTTTTAAAAGTAGAGACTAGCGAATAAAAACTTGCTTTATCAATTGGGTTAACAAGTCGTACCCGAAAACGCTCGTAATTCGTTTCACAGTTAGAAATGTTTTCAGTCGATCGTCTGCACTCGAAGTAAGATGGAAGCAGAAGAAACTGTTGGGATTAAAGCTCGTAGTGTTTTATGGTATTTAACCTTCGTAGGCTTTGCCATGAACTACATGATTCGTATAAATGTCAATATCGCGATTGTTGATATGATAAGTGCTGAGTTTAAAGGAGGTAAAAGTGTTGAAGCAATGTCAGAATGTCACACATTTGTAAACTCAACAAATGAGACTTTTTATCACATCAGTCATGATGAGAGAAATGACGACTTTGACAATGAAAAAAATTATATTTCGCTAGAAAGACGACTGCTTGATTTTATTGGAGTTCGTGAAGCCTTAAAAAGCCATTAGAATTATTTATGACATTCATATTTTAAGGTTGAATATGAGCGAGACGGTTTCAAGTGGAATTCACAAGCACAAAATGAAGTGTTGGGAGCATTTTTCATTTTACATTGGATGACACAACTTCCAGGTGGAATTCTTGCTGCTAAATATGGAACGAAGTTGATTTTTGGCCTTGCTAATTTCATCGGCTGCGTCACATGCATGCTCGTGCCAATAACCGCATATTTTAGTATCAGAGCGGTCATTATTTTAAGACTTTTACAAGGTATTGTTGCTGGCGCTGCATGGCCGGGTGAGTAAATTCTTCACTTTCATCCATTTTAAAATTTATTTTTTTTTCTTATTGCTCATTTTCAGCCATGAATCATCTTGTTGGCCGTTGGATTCCACCGAATGAGGTTTGATCAATTTAAATTAACTTCAATAAAATAAACTGCTGACAGCTTTACAGAGAAGCAAATTTGTTACAGCTTATATGGGAAGCTCCATTGGTGTCGCCATAACTTATCCAGTTTTCGGATTCATTATGCAAAGTAGTTCTTGGGAAAATGTTTTTCATTTTTGCGGAATCGTTGGAACAATTTGGTACGTCGCGTGGTTATATTTTGTCTACGATATGCCAGAACAACATCCGCGGATTCATCCGAAAGAGAAAGAATACATTTTGAAATCTTTGGGATCGTCGGTTGTTCGAGGCGACAAGACAAACTTGAAAGTGCCTTGGAAGGAGATTTTAACATCTCGTGCGACATGGATGAACATCATAGCTCAATGGGGTGGTGTATGGGGACTTTTTACTTTGATTGCACAAGCTCCAAGTTACTTCCGTTTGGTTCATGGATGGGGAATTGAAATGACGGGAATACTTTCGGGACTTCCACATTTGCTTCGTGTAATCTTCTCACTTGTTGTCTCGACACTTTGCGATCATCTTTTGGCAAATAACAAAATGTCGAGAACAAATGTCAGAAAGTTGGCAGCATTTATGAGTGAGACAGATTTTCATTCTCATTGAATTAAGGACAGATTATTTTATTCTTCTTTTTCTTCTTTTTCAGGTCTTATCATGAATGGATTTTTCGTAATTGGATTAGCATTTTCTGGTTGTCATGTGATACTAGCTGTAGCACTTCTAACCATCTCATTAATGCTTCATGGTGCTGTATCAAGTGGAGCATTAGCGTCTGTTGTTGACATAAGTCCAAATTTTGCTGGCATTTCATTGGGGATAAATTCATCGTTCTCTGTACTCACTGGTTTCATTTCACCGCTTATCGTTGGATATTTAACCAACGGTCGTCAGAGTAGCATAGAACCATGGAAATATGTCTTTGAAATTTGTGCAGCTATGCAAATAATTTGCGGTATCTTCTACTTATTGTTCAGTGACTCGAGTCTTCAAGACTGGAATAAGCCACAGAATCTACCGCAATATGCTTTAACAAGTGGTGCAGTAGTGAAGAAGATGGAAAATGTCTCAGATACACATTGCAAGGAGATTCATCCCGAAGAAAAGCGATTAAGTTAAAGATTAACCTGAGTTTAGCTTGTAATTTTACATTTTAAATAAGATATCTTCATACATAAGCATATATCTATGTATATGTGTGTACAAATAAATGCTTAGGTACATGAAAAATTCACAACATAACGAGAAAGAAAACTCAACAAACTCTCATGCAGAAAATGTTTCATCCTTTCGCTTCTCTATTATCATGCATAATACAAAAACGACGAACACAATAAAGCGTTTGGGTAAATCTTATTTCAACATTAAAAAAACCAGCCACACTCTTTGCTTCATAGAATGAACCACTTAAACAAATTCACAGAAACCGATAAAACCACTTACCGTATAAAATGCACCTGATATGTTTATGAATGCAGCAAAATAAAATTTGAAAAACATTTTCCATTTTCTCTCTTTTTTTAGTTTTTGGTTTGTGAATTTTTCATTATGCGGATTATCAATTAAAACATAAATGAATGAAAATTGGAAGATTGTGTCTATTTATTTATTTATTTGTGCATAATTGTGGGGGTGGAGATAATCAAATTTTAATTTTCGGTTCTACTTCAATTAAAGAGAAACATCGTTCTTATCGGATTCATTTTCCTGTTTAATCAAGCGGTTAATGTAAATATGTACAGATGAAGTGCGACATTGACGGAAACAATTTTTGTGTACTTTTTTTCGCTTTTCCCTTGCGGAAAAAAATGAAGCCGGATGGAAGAGCATAAAAAATAAAATATTGAATTTTTTACATCAGTTGATTAATGGCGAAAACAAAAAGCTCGGCTGTCTTGTTTTGGAAATGAAACGCAACATTTTTATGCAATTTCTCACAAATGTTACCGACATAACGAAATTTCGTTTTGCATGATTGAATTGGAATTGTGTGCCTTCATTTATTTATCTTACAGGGAAATGACGCTAACGTATGTTCAATGACGATAAATTGTTGGAAATTAAAAGCTTGTTTTTTTATGAAAAAAAGAGAGAAGAAGCAGATGATATTTTACAATGATAAACATGATAAATGAGAGTTCTCTTCTTCTACCTATGGGATCAAACATTTCGTCAACAATTAATTGCATTTTAAGATATTTTATGCTGTTAATGATCATCAAGTTTAAGTGAGAACACAACGTAAACAACAAAAGCTTTAACAATCATCCAAATTCATTCTATTCAATTCACAAAATTTGCAGCATCAAATAATTCGACTCACCTCTAAATCATGTTCAGAAATGTTATACGACGTTATGAGCTGCTCAACAAGAGTTTCAAGTCGATTGCCTAAGCCAGAAAGTGCCGCATTTGCTCCTGATACAGCTGAACTTTGTGACAACAAAAGCTCTTTACTTCGACTCTCTAAAGCATTGTACTTGGTTTGCATCCCGAGATACTCTTGTCTGTTTGTTGAATAAATTGATGATGAAAGAGAATCAAAAGCAAATGAAATTAGATGAAAATTTCTACCGATAAACATTGTTAGCATCACTCACCGTCTCTGTTCACAAATTCTCACCAAAGCTCGACATTCCTCTTGTTGTCGCTCTAAATCTGATTCCCTCTGAGCTATTTTAATTTTATTGTGCTTATTCTCGCTCTCCGCTTCTTTCAATGCCTCCATGAATGCAACTTTCTCTGCTTGAAGGAAGTCTTGCAGTTCAGTTGATTCTTCTTCCAACTCATTCTTCTGTTTAATTAAATTATCTTGAATCCGCAATGATTTCTCCATGTCACGCTGCATTGCACGACAAATACCTTGAAGTTTGATGATCTCTTCTTGTTGCTTTTCAAGAACATTTCCCGAAAGTGCCAGTTGTGATTCAAGCATCAACAAACTGTCACCGCCGTCCTTCTCAGCTACTGATCCAGCTTGGAATGTCTCCAACATGTTCATGACACGTTCTGTGTTATTTTGAAGTTCCTTTTGAACTGTTAACTTTTCTTCTCTCTCTTTCAACAATTCTTGTTCCAACTGCGCAACAACTTGCGACTTTTCACCGAATTTATTCAACAGTTGCGTATGATCAGCATTCATTCGATCAAGTTGCAGTTGAAGCTTCTCCATTTCTTTATCACGTATATCAGATTGAGTTTCTTTGGTCACTGTTTCGACGGCATCAATTCGTGGCATATTTTCAACATTTCCCGCTAATGCATTCTCAAGATCTTTGCTTGTTAATGCAGTTTGAACTGAAGTCTCATGGAAGATTTTCGTCTTTGAAACAAGCGGCTTCTTGGCAATTTTCGGGTAATAAGGAAGTGATTTGTTTGGTGTCAATGAAACATTGTCTTTCGAAGGAAGTCTTTTAATCATTGAAGACGTCATTCGATTTGGCAGCGAATCTCGTGTCATTGAACTACTTCTTGATCCCGTCTTAGTGAGATCTTCAACAGATTTTTCTTTACGACGTCGTGGCAATGTTCCATATTTATCCAATGTCGACGATGTTGTCATCTTGTTATTATCTAATTGAATATTTCCAATGCGAGTTCTTATAATTAAACTTTCAGGAGTGACGGAACTTCCACGAATGTTTCTTAAATTTCTATTCGAAATTGATGGCCATCGTCCATCATCAGTTAGTGTTGGTGTTGATAAAGGCGTTCGATGTCTTGTCAATGACGGAGTACGTGATAAATTAACACGAGGACTCGACATTGATAGACTCATGTCTTTGATACTTGTTGGGAAGGAATCAGGCTTTGGTGGACGTTTAACTGACATTGAACGTGTTAAAGATGTCGTCATAAGACTTTTCATCGGTTCTGGCTTTGTTTTATCACGTGACCTTGCCCGTTCTCTAACGATTAAGTTTGGAGCGACAGATTTCGACGGAAGAGTATTGGAACGGCTGACAGTTGGTTTTCGTATATTTGGATTCATTTCATTTGACTTTCTTGGGGATTTGTTCAAGGAAACTTCCTTGACTGCAATTTTCTTCTTGTTCGTGCAGTTAAATTTTCTCACAGTTGGACCGCCAGTTATTGATGAAGATTCACTTCCACCTTCGCTGGCACAACAATCATTTCCATTTTGAGTTATGATCGTGTTGTTTGTCTTTTCACATGTATCTGAACAACAACTGATCATGCTTGAATTACATGACACTGGACCAATGTTATCTTCTATTCCACCAGAACTGCTGGCATATCCACCACTATTACTCGATAAGGCTCGCTGAAGAACTCCATTCACTACTGTTGATGCTCCAGTTTCTACACCGCTATCACTTCCATCACCATTTAAAACTTTTCCATTCGTCAAACATTCGTCGGGAGATTTTGTTGATTCTACAACTTCAACTTGATTTGTCATTGTTTCAAGTTTCGATGATATTTCATTATCCTTCTCCAACAACTCAACAGGTTCAGTGATAGAATTTCGTTCAATTGACATATCCATGTTGTTGAATGTCTTTGTCGTTCGTCTCTCACTTCAATCAATTCTCAATTTTCAGTCATGTTGATCCTAAAATGAAAGAAATATTTGTTCTTGTATTAATTACATTTGAAAGTATCGAAATATCTTCTTCATGAATCTGATATAAGTAACAAACAATTGCTTATCAATTATTCTATAATCACCCACCCAATTGACAAATAATTACTTTTCCTAGAATAACTTTCAACTACAGAAGTGTCTAAATAAACATATTCATGTTGTCTTAATGACTACTCACCCAAACGCAAACATCGTTTGTCTTCGATGTTTATATAAATCAAGCATTTCATTAACAAAGGTTAAGATTTATTACGACAATCAACAGAGCAAACACAGCTATGGCTGTCCCGTCCCGTCCCATCCCCTTTAAAAGATGCCGCCTTTAATCGATTTTTAATTTCTCATTTTCTTAATTATCATTTTAGGCTTCACATCCACTTGCGAGAAAGCGAATCAGACAAAAATTTAGGTCGAGAACTATTTGCGTAATTCCCATTGATACTTAAAAAGCAGCAACCAACCCTTGGAAAAGAATTAAGAGAACCAACATGTGGAACTAATGGATATTTTGGTTTAATTATCTTGAAATATGTATTGAGATATTTAGCGAAAAAGCCAAGCAACAAACACATTGAAATCATGCGAAAATCGTCAATGACCTTGAATTACCTACAGCATTATTAGCATTAGACTATGTCATGGAGAAGTGAACACAATGAGGGGTCGTTCTTCGTTCATTCGTTACTATTTAGATGATGGTTAAGAAGAAGATTAAAGCTTTACAGAAACCATGAAAGTTTATCTATGCCACTAAGGTTTCTCATAAAAACAATATTAGCTTTTTCACTTCACTTAATTTCAAGCAAAATCACAATACTTAACATGATGTTTTCCTTTCCTGGCCTTTTCACCAACAACTTTTCTTTCTACACACAAATAAAATGATATTCATGTGTATTATTATCATTGCAACGGGCTTGACTCGTGTTTTACACTTCAGGGGATTTTGACTGCTTCTCATTTTAAGTGCAGTTAATTTTTATTGCATTTAAAAGGGTTTTGTTACGAACGTTCATGAAAATGGTCATAAATTCATTCCCTAATGAGTAAACAAATTATCATTATCATTACTCTTACATGGATGGAGAAAGAAGGAAGGAAGCTGACGACTGACTGTTAGTACGTATGTAAGTCTGTGATTCTCTCCATCAACTACATGGTTAACTTATTAAACAAAAAAATTATGTTGTGAGAGTGAACAGATTAAAACCACCACATGAGAATGTTGCAATAAAAGAATCGATAAGCTTATTATTGGACTGATTAATGTATGTGTATACGCTGTTGGTTAACAACAAATTGACAGCTGCATTAAACATAAATAGTCGCTTGTTTAAATGCGATTGATTGGTTTTAAAAATAAAATATGTTAATTCTGATGAAATATTCAATGAAGTGAATCGTTTTAAAGTTCTTTCAATAAAATAAATATTCCCAATATCGTTCATGCAATGTTTGCTATATTAGATCATCATGATTTTCCACTGCTTCTCATGCTTTTCTTTCCTTATTTATTAATAAACGAAATATTATTTAACAGCGAAAAAAAAATGTTTAAACGAGAAAACATTTCATATCGCTGAAAGCACAGGAATCAATCACAGTGATGAACAAAGTTTAATTGCTCAGAAAGGAAATGTAATCGTTTGGGATGAGAAGGGAAAACTGCTCCAAAGGCGGCAATAAAATATCAATCAAAACGAAATTTACGAGATTCTTCCATCCATCAATTCCTGCTTCTGTATATACGACTTGGATTTAAACATAAATAAATTCACCCTCGAAACCTTTCTTAAACAACTTGTATGTGTATCGGAGATTCAATCAACTCCGAAAATTATATAATCAACCATAAAAGCAGTTGAAAAGTTTATTGGAGAGAAATTTTCTTTCTTTCTTTCTTTTCTTTTGAAGACTGAAAAATATAAAAAGTAAAAAGTAAATGTAATCATAACAAAAGAGATTTTATAGCATTGAAATGTTCTCTCGGATTATGGTGAAAAAGATTTGCATTGAACTCAGCTACTTTCCTTATTTCTTCCTTTTTTATTCTCATCGTGATGCTTCATGTTTCATGCTCGCCGTGAACGATATAAAATGAAGAAACAAATTCAAATCATTTGTTTATCTCATCATTTTCCTATTTGTCGAAATAAAGGAAAGGGAAGAATGAAAAGCCGCTACAGATAAATGCTTGCAAATGGAAGAAAGAAATAGAAAAGCGAGCAGATGACGAGTAGATAGCAGTGGAAATTTGTATTCATGCAACGTCATTGAAAAGAACATGAAGAGACAATAATAACATCCTACAAACCACTTCCAGTAATTCTAGGCATGAACATAAAGGAGAAGCGATCAACATATTCGAGTGTATGTTTGGATTACTTGATGTCATTAAACTCATTTAACTACAGGTAAATAAAATTACATTTTATCTCCAAAAAATTTCATCAAACTCATCACCTGCATTCTTAATCAATTAAAGCGCTTTTGAAAATCCCATAAGTCAACAGCATTGATATTTATTGCATCCAAGTGACGAACGGATACTTATTATGTTTTCGTAGACAGACAATTTATCAAACTGAATTAATTAATGCCGTTGATTGCTCGATTATATCCGCTTCTTTCATCTAAATTTACCCTCGAGTTTCAAATGTAAATAGAAGTAATTTTGAGGCGAACATTTTCTAAAATCAGGGAGCAAAACCGACTGAAAAAATAAATGAGACAATTATTCATCATGAAATGTCACGCAATCAAGAACCAAAAACGTGAAATACATGATGACTATCTAGCTACTGGTAAACACTTTTCGTGATGATTTAAATACTTACTTTAAATTGCTTTTAATTTGAATTTTTATTTAGAAATTAAATTGATTCATCGAACATGCAAAGCATGAGAATTATTTGAAGTGAAATTCACACATGTAAGTACTTAAACGTAATTAAAACTAGGCCAATGCGGAATGAAATCGTATTTTATCATTTCCCCACAGTCTAAATTATTTTCGAACTTCATTAAGAGAAGTTCATAATCCACGAGATTAAATAAACGATAGATAAGTCAAAAATAAAATGAATTAAATTCTTTTCTTATCCAAATATTTTCACAACACTTTAAATAAGTGTGGCGAACAATTTACCTTTAAAATTTGGTCACCCACACTCAAATTACGTTTTGAAATTTAAAGAGAAAACTTTGACTTTGTCTTTCACTACTCGTTGCAGTTAAAGTTGAATGAGACTATCTAAGAAGTTGGTAAGTTTCTCGTCTAGAAACCAACGTAATTATTTAATTCACTCAATCTTCTATTATCGCCTGAAAGTTGCAGAAGCATCTTCAGAATTATTTTACTCCAACAGACTGCAATATTGTGCTGCTAATATATTAAAGCCAACCATATCATTTAAAAGCGTTTTAACTACGTTTTAATTGAGTTGGAATCTTAAGTGAATAGTAAATTCAAATATAAAAAAGAAAAAGCTTTACAGATTTCCTAAATGCCATAACAATTAAGATAAAACCCCAGAGCGTTTCTTTTTCACTACATACATCAATAATCTCTTTTCAAAATATCAACATTAGAAGCGTTTCCATTAATACATGTATTTATTCCGTTTGCTTTTATTATCGCTTTGTTCCCGGCTGTTATCAGCGACAACATTCAAACAGAAATTAATGTTTTCGAATGGTTAAAGCTTAACTCACTTTCGATTAATGTTGTGCACTAAACTTATGAAAGCAAGAGATTAGACATGCTCGATTTTGGATCGCCACACGAGCCGCATGAGTGTTTTGACAATTAAAGTTTTCGATATTTTTCTTCTTTTTTCACTCCACATTTATTTTAAGATTATTTCGACGCATTGATTTTTGAAACATTTCAGAGCTGATTTCGAGTCCACTTAAACTCTCTTCACATAAATCGATCATTAATCATTCAAAATTAGATAATTTCTAAACGAAATATTGAAAGAAAAAACATCAATAATCAATTTTAAAGATTTTTTTAATCAAATATGGTTTTGTTAGTTGTGAAAGTCTGGTTGGAAATTAAAATGCATTTGAAGTGAGAAGCTTTTCAAGTTTCTGATACAACAGAATATTATGTTAATTAATTTATGCACAGTCGATTTTGAACTACTTTCGTTTGCTAGTGGTCTCTGATCAGTTTGAATAAATAATGTATTAAAGATCATGTTTCCTTTCTCTACTAATTATTAATATCTATACCTAAGCATCTGTGATGCTTTGCAATTTATGATCTTTGCTGGGACTTGGGAGAAAGTATTCTCGTTCATCACGATTTAAATTTCATATCTATTATAAAAGCAATTTATTTCTCTGTCGAGAATTTCTTTCCTTCACTCGTTCGTTCGATCATTTACAATAAGAAAACAGCAGAAAATTGATGTATCCAACAGAGACTAAATATGTACATAAAGAAACCAATCAAAGTATCAAGTCATTTAGAAAGCAAATTCAAATGTTACAACGCCCACAACATTTTAAGATCAATTATAAAAACTTTTGACAGTTGATGACACGATTCTGTCTCTCATCGAACGTAAATCTTCTTTCTTCTCATTATAATAATGTAGATAAATATGTTGGAATCGCTAAGAAATAGAAAATTGGATTCGTTAATATTTTAAGCAGCGTTGAGCGCGTTAATTAATGACTCGATTTACTTTAAAACTTTCTTGTTTTCGTTTTTGCCCTATATGAACACATATGGATGCGAGCAGTCAAAGATTGGGAAGCTCCAAAGTTAATTACAGACACGACATGGAAAATCATGCAAGCTTAGACAGCAAACATGAACATGGAGAGTACAAACGTCATGAAAAATGAGAATTTTTCCTTTCTATGAAACGTGCAAAGAATTGAAATGCCATAGAAAAGTTTTCATTGAAGAACTAAACGAAAATGTCGTACTGTGCCATCCCCAGCTTTATGCTGTTAAAGTGAATCTGAACTTTTATTGCTTCGTACAATTTCCCCTTAAGTAGAGGTCGTCGTATTGTTACATTAATTTCATGTTACATAAACTGCGGGAATTAAACATGAAATGAAAATGAAAGTTCAAATATTTTTTGTTTGTTTCTTAAACTTGAAACGAAGAAATGAAGTTTTAATTAGACTTACATGAATTAAATATCAAGAGAATTTTTCATTACGAAATTGAAACCGTGGCTAAGTTTATAACCAGATCATACTTACATCGTACATTATATGAAAAGAGACATTAAATGAAAGATTTAAAGCAATGAGAGTGTGACAGTTCTGTGGCCTAATTTTCTACAAAGATATGTGATCGTTTCACGAAAATTTGCACCACAAAAACAAATAAAAACTTTTGTTATTATTGCTCATTTCTTTCACGACTTTAATGACTCTTTTGAATATTTTGAGACACGAATACGTGGCGACCCGCTGTGCCAACACCAACTGTCCGATTAAGAGCACAACAAAAGAATTTGTAAAAACACATATATGAATGAGTTGCTTGCGTGATGAAGCAACATTTATGTCGTGTTCATAAAACTATCATATGCTCAACTGCCACTAAATCTCTTCCCGCCTTGTTCATCATCATAAAAAATTCGGGTTTTTGTTTTGATTTTATTCTTCAAACCTTCAAACCACTGACATGTTGTAAAATCATTTCGTTTGTAGCACACCAAAAGAACCTCAAAAGCCTTTCGAATCGTGAAAGAAAACAAAATCAAAAAACTGGTACAAAGTGGCCAGGGATCATCGAGATAAAATAAAAGTTTAATCTCTTGCTTTTTCAATTTGCATGAAAAGAGTCCACGATTAAGATGATAAATTTTGACAATATGAAACATTGAAACTGCCAGGCCAACTAAATTATCATCATCGCAATCTTGCTTCATTTCTTTAATCACTTTTTTTTGTTTATTTCGTTGTTTTTTTTAATTATTTTAAAACAGATGCGGAAACAACGTAATTGCAATTTGCTTTGCAGTGTTTTATTTATGTTCAGACTACTGACCATTCGTTTTAAACCTTTTTCGAAAATTTAAACTTTGTGTAACACGAAAGAAATAAAAAAATACTTTGAATCAAATGCCACAAGCCTGAATCGACTATAAATAAAAAAACTGGCGAAAGCTTAACACTTTGAATTTAATAAATCAGATCAGGTGGAAAATGCAATTAAAAACGGAAAGTGCAGTAAAGCATGCTAGAAAATTTACTTTGACATGCATGCAAACTCGAGACGATTTTCCTGATTGAATTCGAAGTTGCACTACAACACTAATTATGCTTAATAAGCGAGTAAACAATACAACGTTTAACAGAGATTGCAATCATGAAACAAAGTCAGCTTAATAATTCTAAAGCGACAGGGGAGAAAATTGAAGTGAAAATGCGCTGACACAGATTTTAATTAGATAAAAATTGTTGTAGGAAATGTTGAACAAAGCCTTGGGAAAGTGAACGTTCCTCTGCTATCAAGATGAAGGCTAATTGCATGAATTTACAGTTAGCTTCATAACACTTTATCGAACTGATTTATGATTTACATGGAAGTTGTTGTCTCAATGTCAGGTTCAAAGACGTCATGTGACATGCCAGAAAATTATGAACTGGAACAAATAAATTTTTTTTTCTCTTACTACATATTAAAAACAACCTTGAAGCGTTAAATCTCGCTTAATAGCACTAACAGGAAGGAATATTAAAACCCCCCCAAGACTTGGGGCAATGTCACTTACGCCACGTTCTAAATCATCTCAATTTCATGTGAATAATTACGCCACGGGGATAAGGCCGTCAACATTATTGTTTTGTGACGATAAAAACATTAAGACTGACTTTTTAACTTCCAGCACACGCTCGTCGGTCGTGCACTTTTTTATTTTCTTTATTTTTCATTCATTGTTATCTTTCCTTCGCAATAAATTTATTTTCCCTTCTTAAACTTTCCATTTACCTTCGAAAAGCGACCACAAACGTTCACAAGTAAAAGCAAAGCATAAATCGAGCTGTACGCTTTAACATAATTTTGCATTAATTCAATTGTTTTTACTTTCCCAAGCAGAAAATTCAGTTGAGGACACCCTGGCACCTCGGTAATGTTCTTAAGGCATTAAACATTTTTTTCTTCCTTCGCACAACGTTTGCAACAACAAGAAAATTTTCTCAGCAAATATTTTATTTACGATCTTTTCCTAAGGCTATGAAAAGGTTCTCTTAAATCTAAAATCAATATCGTAACATTATGAATTTACAACGAATATTTAAAGTCAAGAATCTTTCATCACACAAGCATTATTTAATTCGTCAGCTTATCAAAATTGTTACGCGTTGAAATCAAATTTTTTATAAAATTCTTGTTTAAATAAAAAAGGAGAAATTTTCACGTTCAACAAATATTTTATTTGACAAACATAAATCTATGAACTTGGTGATGCTTTTCAATGTACACAAGAGACGACCCGCACACACACACAAATCGAATTGGAATTTATTCGATTGCATTAAACACATAAAACTTTCGTCCACAACAAAGGCTACGTGCCGTGAGGGTTGTTTACAAGTTGAAACAAAGTAAAACAAAAAGGGACGAAAATTGTACGGTTGGTAATTGGCAATACATGTCTTCCTTTCAGTCGTCATAATACACAATATAAGTAGAAAACGAAAAACAAATGAAGTTTTCCCTTGTGTAGTCGAACTATCATAAGTATGCAGAAGAAAGCAGAAATATCTTAGATCTAATTTTACTTTCGATACTTCAGTTGTTGTTTTTGTTTTGTTTCACTCCCACGTTACGTTTAACCACCAGATTTATTTCTAGTCAATGTTATCCCTCAATATTGCCGGCATCATTTCTTCGAAATTGAAGGGAGAGGCTAACATAAATGAAAAAGAAAGACTCCGCTAGAATTTCAATATCCGTTGGTTGACTTTAGTTTGTATGCAGACAGACGACATGAAATCGTTATTGATTTCCAGAGAGAGCCAGAACCAATGAAGACAAACACAAAAGTTATCAGCAGTCGACTGCTGATGGCTCTTTTTTTGGCTTTTCACTCTGTCTTGAACTACTTTTTGGAATCTTCTTCGTATTTCTTAGTTCTTGTGCTCTATAGCTTTGTTTTTTTTTTCCTGTTTGACAGTAAACATTACGTGGGATTAACGTCAGTTGCCACAAATCTTCATTGAAGAGTTTTTTAAGAGCACGAGACAAGTGCCATCAACTTGCAGAAAAGCAGAAAAGTAGAAACATGAATTATCGCTTTTGAAATAACGGGAGATGTTTCATTGATAATTCATGTCTTCCACCCACGAACTTATATTTATTTATGACTTAATTTGTACTTGCTTCGACCAAGGAATTAAATTTGTGAGAATATAAAAAAGTTGTTGAAAGAGGAAACAATTTCATTCTACTCATCCGGTTATGTGATACATCCAAGCATTGTGTTGCATCATTTCTAGAAACTCAACGATGAATATGTGAAAAGTCAGATGATAAAGTTTGAATCACCACAAATAGTTCGGTATTATTCTCAGCTTTCGGTATTTTGATACTCGAAACTATTCACAGAAACTAATTCGTCCGAGTTGCATTCCATTGTTAGGATTCAATCTTTGTCTCGTCGTGATTTCACAAAATTTACAAATATATTAGAACGTCTAATAAAACCTGATGACAGTTGAAGTAGGTAATAAACAAAAGCTGATGGATTGATGGGATTTATTGAATGTATCATTACATTTCCTCTTGTTGTTGTTTAAAATTTAGGTGAATTATCACGGACTAACGCATTTTAGACTCGAGTGTGATCACAATAATTACGTTGTGCACAGTAAAGAATTCTTTATCAATAAGCTAGGCCTTCCTTTTTCTTTCGTAATTATGCGCATAATTTATGATCATATTTTTCTTTCTTCTTTTGAAGCCAAGCAAACAAACAACGGGAACAGAAAACAGAGAACATTGTGAGAAGAATTAATTCGACTTAATTGAATTGTATGCTTGTTGATTTAGTTCTGTTGTCTTCTCTTTGTATCAACACATTCACAACTCTTTAATGTGATTTCATGCTTGTTGAAACATTCTTTATGTAGCTTCTTACGATTTTATGAATTCTACTCGCGGCTCAATATCATGATCAAGACGCGCATTTGGAATAAACTTATTTAAGTGAGAATTCAGAATTGAGGCTGGGAATTTCGCTTTCAACAGCGGCTGTAGAAAACGAAGAATGAAAACATGATGTCAATGTCCTACAAGTCGTAGTTTATGCAAATGAGTCTCGTGTAGACAACACAACAAAACTTGTTTCCGAATACGGCGACCTTCACGATTTTTCTACTGTTTACAAACGATTGACGCCGCTCCATTCCTGGTTCAATAATCTAAACATCGCGCCACTTTTAAGTCACTTAAATTAATGAGATATTTATTTAATTAATCTGATTTAACAAGACGATTACATGAAATGAAAGTTGCTGCTGTTGCTACTTTGAATGAAAAGATTTTGATGGTAAAATTAAGAGAAAAAAATCAATTTGATGGCCTTCATCAGTCATAAAGGTTGAGGCAACATTGATCAACATCGATCATTAAAACCACTGAATGGACGGAAATCCAAATCCGGCAACCGCATGAAAACGTGTGCAGTTTAAATGTCGATATCTAACAGCATAATATTCACAATTCATGTTATTGGACTTTTGTTGTCCATAAAAATCGTGAACAATTAAGAGAAGATAAAATTGAAGCCACACACAAAAAAAAAGAAAGAAGCAGAACAAGCCAGATATGTAGAGGAAGACAATTTAACATCAAAAACATTGAAATATTTCAATGATTGATGATTTAATGCTCTTGGCCATCACACAATTATCTTCAACTTTTTCTTGATTAATTCATCTCAATGTTTTCCGCTTTCGAGTCTTTTCTCACTCTTAAATTGGTCAGATGATTTATCATGAACAAGACCGCTATTCTAGGTGGTGCTGAAACTTGTCGGTGGAACTAATTACAAGCGATTATGCTTTAATTTCAATTTTCTTTCTTTTCCACCCACTTTTACATTAATGATTTATTGAACATTTTAAGCATATTGCAAGCATAATCTCATAAATTATCGAAATTTATGTTAAGAACTCTCCCAATAATTTTAAATTTCATTTCAACTTAGTAACAATACAGAAAGTTTTCAATTGAACATTTGAGTGAACAACTCGCTACATAAATTAAGTTCAACGATAACTACTTAGTCCAATCCAGGTTTTAGATGACAGAAACATTTCTTTTATGAAACTTTTTTTCCTGTCTAGATCGTGCGGAATGGTTTTTGTATGAATTCAAAAACTTTTCTATTTAGTATAAAATTAGAAATAAAAAATAATCTTTGACTGTCAATAGCATGTCAATACGACAATGTGCAGAGGAAAGAAATGAAGTCATGAATATTGTTTGTTTTCCTCCCTCGATTTTTAGCACGTTGATACGCATCTAAAAGGAGGCAAAATCTTAAATTTCAATTGACAAAGATTTAATTTATGTGCAACTCGTACATGAAAGGAAATTGTAATTTGTCAAATTGAAGAAAAGAAAAGTTAAATGAATTTAATTCGAGTGAAGTTATTGACTTGAATACAGAAAAGAAAACTTGAGAAACAACCTCAAATATAAGTCATCTCAAAGCTTATTTCAACACTGCTAACAGTGACGCTTTTGTATATTTTTTTCTTTACTTCCAATTTAATTGTTTATTATTTACACAACTGCTTTACTGGCTCACGGGTGTGCTCTGTGCTTTATTGCTTTTTTTTAAGCAAACCAAACAATTACACGAGTTCACAGCTCGGTTTGCATAACGCATTAGAGACTTTACACCAATGTTATTTCTCGCGCAGTGATGATTTGTTGGGAAAAAGTCGAAGCTTCACCTCAGTTGGTGGCGAGTTGGAATTTTCACTTTTACCCTTTTGCCGTAAACTATTTATGATCGAGTGAATTTATGAATTTAATCAACTTTCATCTCTTGTCTAATCGTTTAAAGTTGATGTTTTATGAGTAAAAACATTGAGATGTTTTAAATTTCACAACAATGTTTGACCAGCATGATCATCAACTCGAAAAATTATTAAATCGACAGCTCATTAAAAATGTTGCGTAATTTCAATGTTTTTTTTTCTCATCATCAACAATAAAACTCATCATGATACAAGACAAAAGCCTCATAAAAAGTTGCGAACGTCAATTAAGTCACAATTTCGGGCGGCAAACAATTTTCTTGTCTTTGTTTACTTTGACAATGAATGCGTCAAATATCGTCGCTAATTAACTTCCAGAAGTTTAAAAAACTTTGTAATTTCCCATTCAACTATACACTGTCACATTGGTGACAACCTTCTCACATTAACTTGAAAAGCATTTCCAATTACAAGCAATTGAAAGTTATTTCAGTTTAAGCGACTTGCGAGATTTCCTATTGAACTAATTTTGTGTCTTTTTTTCATGTGACAATTTTAGATGTGAAAAGAAAGAAGAAAGCATGCTCAAGATCTGTTAAAGTGAGGAAATTGCAATGTCACGTTCACGAAATGAGCCACTTTCTATTTATGGTGATCGAATTGTTGCATTTACGACTAAACTTCTGGTTTACTTTTTTGTTGTTAAGTAACATTCAACTTACCATAAGTTTGAAAATATTCCGATTGTCTGTCGACTGTTAGATTATGGTTCGTTCCTTAAGTCTGGAAAGAAAGGAATGAAGAAAGAATTGAAAGCATTTTGTATTTCATGATTGCATAACGTTACATTTTCTATCTCGAAATACATAACGAGAATTAATTAAAGCTGATTGAGAAAACCTGCTGCTGTTGCTGTTTCCAACACTCTATTCAAATGAGCATGGCATGAAAACGAATGATGGGGAGGGGATAAGTTTTCATGGAAATTAATACTTTTTACATGATATTTCCCTTTATTCTACACATGAGAATGCTTTCATTATCTTCACAAAACAGAGAATAAAAATCAAATCCACATGCTACACACTTGTTTAAACGAATGGTCGGATGAAAAGAGAAATGAAGAAAATTCCATCACCATGTCTGATACTCGTCACTTTACCGTACAAAAACTTCATTTAAAAGTACCTTGGAAGGTCATCGCGTTTCTTTCAATCGTTAGAGACATTTAACTTAGAAACATCACGTTTTCCGTTTCAATCTTTTTATGTTGAACTTTTAAAGATTGAAAATGATTTTAATTTTAATTAAACCTTTTTCGAATAATCTTATTATTTATTAAATTGAAAATTGCTTCAGCTTAATCATATGCTTCAGTTTTATGAAACAAAAATTGTAGACGAAACACGAAATGAAGGCATTAAATATTTACCATCTCGTTGAAATGTTGCAACAATGCAAATGTCGTAAAATCCTTACATGAATAATTGCAATTGCTGAATAAAATCATACTAAATTTTAACGAAGAGAATATTTCAATTATGTCTACGTTTACAATTTGGATTTGTTTTTATTTTAATTTTATTTCTCTTGTGGCTTCCCCGGGAAAGGAAGACGACAGAAGAATGATAACTTCGCAATGCTCAGGTTCGGTATTTTGTAGTCCAAAGTCACATCAAACGTCATTAGAATGCATAATTCATTCATCTCGACGTAAAATAAATGTTTGTGGGGAAAAATTTCTTTCGTGGCGTGATATTCTTTTACTAGTACAGACACACCAGCACGCAGGAGCAGCCGATGATTTTATTTCGTTATAAAAGGGATATTATAGACCGAAAAGAGAGGAGGAAATAAAATATCCCTTGTTCTCTTCGTGGAGTTTAACACACTCTCAAAATTGAAATTATGCATTTAAAGGAAATTCAACATGACATTTTATGAGATTAAAGCACGACGGTCACTTTTTTTGGAATCTGTTTTCAATTCAGTTTAATGATGGCAATGATAATCAGGTTTCTTCAATTTCCAAAATGAATTGTGAGAAATGTCAAGGAGAAAGTCAAAGAAATCGTGAAATTAGTTTACATTCTTCAAGCAAGTTCACAGAAGAACAATATTTTGACTTCCGTTTATTGCTAAGCATTTAAATTTCTTGAAGTGGAAATTCTCATTAAGATAAAAAAAAAGCCGAAACACGAGCCTACCTTCTTCATTTTTTAATGATTGAGATAAGATTAAATGAAATGCTGCTTAGTGAATCATTTCGAGTCATAAAAACGATAATTCGCCTCCCAGCAATTTAACTTTCCATTCAACACAACGCTTGGTAAACCGAGAAGAGATTTTAAAGGGAAAAAAACATCTAAAGAGAAAAACGAAGAGAATCGTTGTGTCTCAATGGAGTTGTTAATAGAGCTAACCAAACTAAGCACAAATTGCTTTTATTTAATATTCTTTTAATTTAATTGTTATTGCACATTTTCATTTCTCCTTTTGGTACAATTTAACTGAGAACACCTACGAAATTGGCTTTCTCAATTTGATGTTATTTTCTATAGCTTTATTATGGTTGTTTTCAATGTGAAATTAATTTGTCATGAAAAGAAATAAAAGCTGAAAGAAAACAATGAGTTGTTGTTCCTTAGTTGGACATGCAGAAAAGCGTTACACAAAGAGACATAATAAATCAATCGACTTTTGTTTTCACCAAGTTTACTCAATTTAATCTTTTCGAATCCATCAACGAATTGATTTGCATCACGAGAAGTTCCAATTTCAAACCAAAGCGCGTATGACGGTGGCGAATGAGGCAACAAGAAGAGTTGCTCGTTGAGTTTCAACACGATTTTGATAAATTTCAGTTGAAAATGTTATTCTCGCACATTCGCACACCACTTATCTGGATTGGAACAACAAAAACAGCAAAAAAAGTTTCGTTTCGAGCATGTATCAGTCACGTAGCAATTCAATTTCGATGCTTCACGAGTACAGGAGAAAAACGAAGAAGATAATTTAATTTAATATGTTTTCCTCTCCATCTCGTATATTTTACCACAAATCCTACTGCAAAGCTTCGAAAATTTCACGTCTTTTTCTTTCATTACTCGTCTTTGTCTTCTATTTATTTTGTAAACTTAAAACTTTTGTCTGATATTTTTGTTTTTCATCTCCAACAGAGCAGTTCTGAATCAATTCTGTTGTTTATTTATCTGAAGAAAAGGAAAGCTTTTCACCAAATCCTTCAATCATTCTTGAGATAAAATGAAAAGTTGTTGAAGAAATGCTTCGAGGTAATTTGAATAATCATTTAAAAGGATGTGAAATGCTGCCATTTAAAAATAAAACATGAATTTGTCTGTTTCAATTATCCACAATATCAATCGAAAATTTACTGCACTAACCGAAATCCACTTCAAAAATTGAAATGACCCTTAAAATTTCATGAAAACTCCAACCCAGTAGCGTCTATTATAACAATAAAATGCAAGCAAACTAGGGGAGATAAAATAATCTCGCTTCAAATCTAAATTGGCAAATTTCAATAGCCACAATCGAAGGTCAATTAAACAATCGAATAAAACTCTTTATGGCATTTAATTGTGAAGCTCAACCCGAACGACTTTGCTCCCGTATTGAGCGATTGAGCGTAATTTAATTTGAAAACATACATTTGCCCAACCATGGCTCATTGACAATGTCAAGAGTGAATTGACCATAAATTCGACTTTATCAGCAACAGATTTTGTGCTGTAATGAGTTATTTGTGACCCACATAGCACGTTTCTCTTAGAATATTTAGATAATAGATTGAACTCAAACAGTATCACTCCACATAAATAAAATTCTGAAACTTAAGGAGGAAGAAGCGACACACATGATGGAATGGAACGCTTTCAGCCGTACATCTTCCACTTAAAATCATTTCCGTTAATATGAATTCTTCTTGAGCGATGGGAATTGAGAAGTACATTAAATTTAATTGACGACTCTAGACTCTCGACACAAATCACATAAAATATTTTCGAATCCCGTAGATCATAAGATTAACCGCTCAAATGTAAACAAACAATTCGAAGAGGTTTCCGTGTGAACATTCCGCGAACTTTCAGTACATAAATATAAATGAAATCTTTAATAATGTAATTAAGTACCTAATTTAAGTATGAGAATATAATAAAAGATAAAATTTTAAAAACACTTGAGAAGCTGATAATAAAAAAATAGTTCAAATGTCAACGACATTCCACTCAAATTTCCTTTATTTAGTTGTCAACTAATCAATAAACAATCGTTACACTTGAGCTCTTCTGTCAACTGTTCCACAAAGCAAAACTTTTCTCTCATCATTCAAATGAATATATCGGCGCAAAAGTCAAAAAGAAGAATTTCTTTTGAGGTTGTTCCTGGTTTATTTATTCTTTTTTATAATTTTTCTAGCACTGAAGTGAAACGATGACTTAGCACTTACTTATTGACATTTAGAAATTCTCTGCAACTTTAGAAATTATTTTGTAAGATTTGAGATCAAATAACTACACAGTCTTATGTGACAAGATATCACCAAGAAAATTGTAACAGATGTGTTGAGAAAAGCCAATTATGAGATTGTCAATCGAGATGAATTAAATGTAAACAAATATCTAAAACATTTGTGTCATCAGAAAAGTGAATTCAAAGTTTGATTCAGCACAAATGTCAGCTCAAAATCTTCATAGCTTGATTTTATAATAAAGGAAACGTTGGGAAATTCCATTTGACATACATAAATCTCTTCAATTAAAAAACCTCATTAGCGAATGTTCCCTTACAAATCATAAATTATATTCACAGCATACAGACTCCTACTCGGAACGTCTATTTTGAATCTTTCGAATTTTACAAGCTTGTTCATTGCCCTGTGCACAGCATGAAATAATTTCTCGTTGTTCCGAAATAGTTCTTTAGATTTTAAAAATAAACAAACGCGAAAAGAGACTTTGCATTTAGCACTTCAAACTAGTTTCGTTTCCAACGTGCCACGTCAACATAGAAACATGTACGTTTAAAATGTTTTTAATTAAATTATGTGAATGACTGTGTCCCATGTCCCAAGACGATTTCGAAAGAATGTTTTCGTTCTTTGAGTATGTGAAACTCAATCATCGTCGTTCTGCATGAGAAACGTTGGGAGTTGGAGAATGTTTCTTTCTATTTTTAAGTTTAACGTGCATGCTGTTGAATATCAAGAAGTTTCAATGTTAACTGTGAACGGTTTTGAGGAATTTCTTTTGTGATGAATTTTCCGTTGAAAGTCGTCAATAAAAAAGTTTTTCCCTTAACTCATAAAAAAAGATACTGTTAAATGTAAACAAATCACATCGAGAAAGAGACAACACACATTATGGAGCATAAACAACAGGAGATAAGATGCACTGTCTTCACATTGAATTCTCGTAAAATAAAGTTATAAAAAAGCATCGTAAAGAATTTTAAAACTGTATCGGCGTTTTATTTTGCCCTAACTTCAGATTTCATAGCTTCATGTCACTGATGAAAGGAAAGGAAAGAAAACGCAACATAAACATCAACATATGGGAAGCGTTTTACGATCAACGAGTGAAATCTGAGTCTTTTTTGGCTTAGTCTTATCATTATAAAGGCCTTGAATCGATGATTCTTTGAAGGAAATGAGACCAAACAAATAAACCGGATTGCAGAAGTTCAACGAACTTTATCGGACAGCACAGTAAAAACGTTTAAGTTGCCAAAATATTTTCTTTTAATCGCGACGCTCTTGTGAAACAAAAGCATTTTTCAATTAATTTTTTCCTTTCAAATATCTAGATAATTTCTTTTGAAGCGCTTGCTTCACGCTTAATCGAAGACAATGCAATGAAGACCAGTGAAAATTAAATCCATCATTGCCCAAGCAAAACGTCATGGAGCAATATGAAGCTTGCTATCGATAGAGAGAAAGTAAATATTTCTATGCTAAACTAACCATTTTGTTGCTTATTTTAAATTTCGTATTTATAATCAATAAGAAATCGCATTAAGGTTTTATTAGGTCAAAAAGCCGGTTTTTTGTTGAAGTATTAAATGATGGGCTTCATTAGTATTTATGTTAACTTAACAGTATTCTTTAATGGAAAATGTGGTTTTTATCACTTATCATATTGATTGTTTTAACCACTTTATTCGAATTTTATGTTTTAAATTGAGTCTTTCACGCTTGAACTACTCACACATTCAATTAACACACTTTTATTTTTTTATGTTTTTATGCTTTTATGCATAAGATGATAGGGATAATTGCAAAAATTTTCTCATGTAAGAATAGCGCTGAGAGCATTTGAAAAGATCACATTTATGAAGAATGTTTAGGGACTATTCGATAGCGATGTCAATGTACTTGGTGACATTCAACTTTGATTGGAAAATTTTCTCCATTCAGTTAATTATCATAGATTATGAATTATGAATAAATAGTATTTAATACATTGAATAATAACACGTTGAATATTATTAGACTTACCGTCTTCTTTTTCAAGATCAAAAAACTTTGATGCACTTTTTATCGATTTTTTTTTCTCCCTTTTCAATTGAAATTATTTCATTTATCCTTCAACTTTTCACTTTTTATATATGAAGAATAGAGTGATGAATATAATTTTTTATGCTTTATGTCACTACCTTTTATATTTTCTTAACTTAATTTAACCTTTCCAAGTCAAAACATGAAAGACTTATTATGTTGCATAAAAATGACTTTCTTACACGAAAATATTTTTTAGCGTTGTATCACGAAACTTAAGGCGCAGCAATGATTAAGTTGTTGAATAATGTCCGGCAGCCACTATTGAGTTCTTTTTATGTTTTATTTTATTAACACAGTGAATTATTGAAGGGAAAGATAAAACAACAACAAATGAAGGCAGCTGCAAAAATTCAATAAATTTCTTAATTCCCTTAAAAATAGCGATAACGTTAAGTTAATCTTTTGCGTTCATTGTTTATACCACTTTTAGTTATTACTTTTAATGTTATGCTCGCTTAATCGAATTGGAAATGTTGTAAGACGCATTTGTGCATCCAGTGCCGACAATGTTTTTACTTATACTGGCAAAGAAAATAACAGAATTCTGTGGAGACAAAATTATGTTCATTATGAAGAATTGGTCATCGCAGTTCTTTAGGAAAATTTGTCGTTTCAGATATCTTGTAAAATTGGTCATCGCAGATATTAAAACTTTTATTTTTGTTGACATAGATTCAAATAAGAAATTGCATTAGAAATTACAAAATTTATAATTTATGATTAATAACGTCAGTAAGCCAAACTATTTTATTCTAGCATTGAGACTCTTGTAAAACAATATCAGGATATGGAATCAGAGAGGTGAAATCCTCATAATGAATATTAATCTTTAATCTTATTAAAAGATTCATTTTTTTATTAGCAATTGCCGATTTTGCATGAAAATCTTTCAAGATGATGATAAACAGATCGTAATCAACCCCTTTATCAAGGCACAGTTCTTTTGGATTACTCATAAAGAATTGAATGTTGATCTTTATTCACAATATATTTGTGAATATTGTTTTAATACGATAAAAGAGTTTGCTGAATTTAGAGATGTACTCATTAAAAACCAGAATTGTCTAGAGAACTCCTTTATCTTCGTTGAAGAAAATGTTGATCTTAAAAACTCAACATGGAACAACACTCAGGACTACAACACCATAATAGAAGTGTTAAATGAGGTGAACGACGAGGATAAAAATAGCCACTCCGAAACAGAGATATTAATGGATAAGTTTCTTGATGAAAATTCTCATAAATCACAAGAACATTCCCAAAAAAATCGTTTTCTTGCTGACAGTAAAATAAACTTGAATGGAACAAAATTGTGCTCCGGTAAGTTCTAAATCCCATTCATAAAACTTGACAACTAATTTAAATATTTTAGAATGTGGCAAAGTTTATAAATCTTATTCGTCATATCACCGTCACTTTGAAAGAATTCATTTGCAAGTAAAAAATTTTGAGGTAAATTTTTTTTAATTACCTAATTCTCTAATTTATAACTTTTAACGAATAATTGTTTTTTATAAAGTGTGACTACTGTTCTTATAGATGTTACACCAGAGATCATATGGAAATTCACGTAAAGAGTCATCTAAAAATTAAAACACATTACTGTGAACTTTGTGGTAAAGCATTTGGCAACGGGAGCATTCTCCGGCAACATTTTCTAACACATCAAAATAAACGTCCTTATACATGTGAGAAATTTGATTGCAATTTCTCATTTAAAAGTATTTATGCGCTTCGAAGACATCAAAAAACTCATTCACTAGGAAAGCGAAAATATGAATGTGAAGTGTGCAGGTTTTTACTTTAAATTCTTTTTAAATTGCTTCATAAAATAGTTTTAAATTTATTCTTTTAAACATAGTTCAAAGTTCAATGACAAATGGCATCTTGAACGACACAAACAAACTCATGAAAATGCAGAAATCTCTTGTGAAAAATGTGGGAAATTTTTCAAAAACGTTTACAGACTTGAAGCACATCAAGCATATCACAACCCGCCTCAATATCAATGTGAATCATGTTCTAAAGAGTTTTTTACACGATCAACTTTAATTTCACACTTAAGGACCCATTCAGATAAAAAGAATTATGATTGTTGCTCATGCGATAAATCTTATTACAATAAATCACATCTAACCCGTCACATCAAGAAAGAACATTCTACGAAGTTAAATCAAAGTCAATGCAAAAGAAAGAGAATCAAAAGTTGAAAAGAAAACAATTTAAGAGATGAGAATATTATCACCAGTGAAGTGCCAATTGAAAAATATAATAAAAAGCTAAAGAAATTATAAAATTAATGTGGAAATTTCCATTAGGAACATTTAACAGCTTTATAAAGTTCAAAAATGTAAACATCTTTCAAAGGTTCGTGTCCAAGATATGTTTTGAACCGGTTCTTCTTCCAAGTTCTGAGAAGACAAAATTGTAATAAAGCGCCGCGATATATTTTCAAATGATTACTAAAAGTTTGCTTTATTAAAAACATAACAAAAATGCCAAATCGAAAGTGCTGTATTACTCGATGCACATCAGTTGAAGGTCAAGAAAAAGATGCCGGTGTTACTTTTCATCGATTTCCTCATAATGTAGTACATGTAGAGAAATGGCTAAAAGGTAAACAATTTCATAATTTTTTCAACATTTGCAATTTGAAATTTTACAACTTTATTGTTTTTTTCATTCAAGTATGCAAACTCGAGAGCAACTTTAAGCCTACAAAGAATACTTATGTTTGTTCGAGGCATTTCAAACGTGAAAATTTTGCCAGTCAAGCTTCTGGAAAATTCGTTTTAAAATGTTTATCAGTTCCATCCATCTTTCCATGGAATAAGAATACTATTGTCACTCCAAAGAACAATAACTCACCCGCAACATCAAAGCCATCATCTCCACCTCAGTCAAGTTCTAACCGTTCATCAGTAGAAGCAGCAAAGGAATCATCGAAAGTCAATCAAGCAGATTCCGGATCTGACAAGAAAGGTGAGGACATCAGCGCAACACCAACAAGTGAAAAAAATACAAGCAGCAAGAAGAAAAATATTTCTCCTAAGAAGAGTTCACCTGAAAAAACAAAAAAGTCAAAAAGACTTTCCGCAAAGATTGCATTAAAAATTAAAGCTGAAAATTTACCACCTGCAACTCCTGAGAAAGTGAAGGAAACTCCTATTGACGGAACACCTAAAAAGAAAAATCAAATCTTAAACTTCGTACCTGGTTCGACAATAGAAGCTCAAAATTTTGATGAGAAATGGATTCAAGTTAAGGTCATTGAAGTGGACATGGATGAACGTGAAGTCCTTGTGAGATCGTGTGACAAAACTAATAAATCAAAAACAGGGTAAGAAGGGAATTAAATTTTCATTAACAATAATATATTTACTAGTGTCAATTAACAGAATTAACGATGAATGGATTTCAATGGATTCACCACGCTTACGACCAGCGCAACCAATTGTCACGTTTGAAATTGGAGAAAAAGTTTTAGCAAGGTGGAATGATTGTAGGAAATTTCCAGCAACTATTAAAAGAATTCTTGACAATGGTAAGGAAATCATAAATAAAATAACAAAAACTTCTTTTATTATTAAACAAAAATATTTTAGACACTTATGACGTTCTTTTTGATGATGGATATCCAAAAATTGTTCGTGGAATTCACATTAACAAATATTCAGCTAAGAATCAACCGAAAACACAAACACAGGAAACAACAGTGCCGGTGGTTATTAATCCATTGCTTTTGAATCCACCAAGCTTGATTCCAGACTACATAAAAGAAATGAAAGACATTCGCAAAGCTCCAACTGAAGGTGAATGGTGTTGTACATGGGTTGACGATATTCCTGTCGGTCAGGAGTCATCATTTGATGGCCCTCATGGGAAACTGCCAAGCATCATTGTGCCCGATTGGAGAGTGAAGGAAGGATGGCAGAAACATATTTATTTAAGACAAAATGGTAAATGGGACGTGCTGTTTATAAGTCCAACGAACAGAAAACTTCGATTTAAAAGTGAACTGAAGAATTATTTGTTGGAAATCGGCGAAATTTATGATCCTGAAGCTTGGGATTTTAGTTTACAAAAGAAACGTTCAAAACTGCTTGGACTTTGTGTGGTAACTAATAACTTTAAAAATCAGATGCTTTCATCAAGTTTCGATGTCCAAACTGAGAATTCGAACGCTTCTCAAATATACAACAATCCATTTGCTTCACTTGGTGCTCTTCCATATGTTCAACCGAATTTAATTTTCCCACCACCAATGCAAACAACAGTTCGGGTTGGAGCTTTACAAGTGAAAGTCGTTGACAATATTTATCAATGTCCACAAGAAGGATGTGACAAAACATTTCGTAAAGAGAATCATTTGCAATTACACATCAAACATTATCACGAAGATCTGGCGAAACTTATGGGTGAGTGTTTGAATATGGAAGATTTGGCTTATTTAAGAACGACTGTTGATGAGCCTGAAATTGCACCAACAAAACCAACGAGAAAATCGCATGGACCGAAGTTACGTCCTGAAAGTATGAAGGAAGTCAACATTTCCATTGAACGCTATTCGCCAGCTGATTCAAAGTTCCATATGCAACGTTCACCGATTCTTGAAGAAGCTTTGAAGGCTCCGATTGTGACAAACAACAGTTCTGTATCGACTTCTAATGGTAATAAAGGTGAGAAGGATGAGGTCGACATTGAACAAAGTTCAGATCTCATGTCTTATAACTCTTTTGATCCAGAAACTTTAATTCCACCGTATGCTGTCAGTAAGCCTGGTCATGTACGATTTGGAGGGAATCGTAAGAGATTGAGAGCGAAATTTAATACAAAAATGAAGAAGCAAGGAACAAAAAAGCGTCGTATGGAAACTTACGCAACTGAAGATGAAATTCTTTCGCCTCATTCAACTGTTCAAGGAATTATTCCGTATCATGAAGGTCCCTACTTTAAGAATCAATCGAGTTATGTTGATGAAAACGGTGAAGTTATTAAGATCGTACGAATGAAGAAGGAAGAAATTATAAATTGCATTTGTGGGTATGGAGAGGAAGATGGTTTGATGGTTCAATGTGAGTTGTGTTTATGTTGGCAGCATGGCTTATGTAATAACATTGAGAAACCTAATCAAGTTCCTGAGAATTATGTTTGCTTTATCTGTAAGAATCCCCATCGACAACGCGTGTCTCAAAAGTATATTCATGACCAAGAATGGTTGTATGATGGGAAACTCCCGATTGCAAATTATCATATTTCGAACCCTAAGCAGCCTTCTCGATTCGAGACATTGAAGCAATGTCATACGTTGATTGGGAATCTCAAGGAAATGAAACGTTTCATGAACAGCTTGGATGTGAAGATAAATATTGCTGAAAAGCAAGGACATCCTAAACTTTATTTATGGGCGAAGAAATGGGAACAAAGTCCGCCAAGACCATCAAACAACGAGAATGATTCGAAAGATGATGTGAAGGGAGATATTAAGATGGAAGAAGGGGAACAATCATCTCTCATTCTACCCATGATTCCAGAACCAGAAGTTGCAATTGAACCTGCTAAATGTCAACAAACTCTTCTTGATCATATTCAATTTCAACAAAAATCTGTGAAATCGCGTTTAGAGACGATTGATGATGAAATAACTGGTAAGTTAAAATTCTAATTAATTGCTTAAGTAAATCATATTTTTTTATTAAATTCATTAACAGCACTCGAAGAAGCAAGCACAAGCAAACTTAATGGAAAAGTTAATATTGATGATGCAAGAATGAAACAAACTGTTCACATGCTGATCAAAGATTTGATGAAAATGAACGAGATATCATCAATTCATCGAAATTAAAACATTTTTCATTTATTAATTATCGTGTAGAACTTTTAAAAGAATAAATAAAATAAATTTTTGAATTTTATTCACAGTCAGTCTTGTTCATTTGATTTTCTGTTTCATCTTTGAATGTAAATTGCATTGTTTTGATTTCATCCATTAATCGATTGACTTCTGTTTGTCCAAGATCAGAATGGAATGCCAAAATATGTTCTGCAAAAGAAATTAAGAAATTAAAATCATTCAAACTTGATTAAAGTTAACTCACTTTTGAAAAGACCTTTATGCGAAAAACTTTCATTACAACCGCGAACTTTACAAGGCAATTTCTGCTTTAAATGAACTACACGAATGTGATTCTCCAATGATGCCTTCTTAGCAAACTCAGCATCACAATATTGACAATGAAACTCCTTGCAATCATTGTGCATATTTTTTATATGCATTTTTAAAGTTTCTTGTCCATGAAATTTTTTTTTACAAATCTCACAGTGAAATTTCGGAGATTGATGAATATCTAAATGTATCTTCAAATTTCTTACAGTAACGAAACTTTTTCCGCACACATGACAAGTTTTATTGTCACAAGGTTGTTCTTGGTGTTGACTTAGCATGAATTTATTTGAAAAGTTCCTTTTGCATTTGCAACGAAAACTTTCATGATTTTTCTTTTTATGAAGATTCAATGCATATTTAGAATTAAAACCAGTAGAGCAACCATCAATGCTACAAACAAAATCGCCTACGTGAATTGCCAAATGTCGTTTCAAATTCTGCTTGAATGTAAAAGTTGCACTGCATATGTGACAACTGAAAGGTCTGATCTAATAAATGAATAAAATTGGTATTTGGAACATTCATTCATTTGATAAATTCTTCCTACTTTAAGGTGAGCTCTGGTATGATCAATAAGATGATGTTTATAGAAAGCTGAATGTCCACAATGGTCACAAAAATATTTTCTTTGATTTAAGTGAACTCTTTCGTAATGATTTTCATAAGAACTAGAAGCACACCAAAGACCACAAATACCGCACATCTTCATATCATTAGCAGCGGTAAGATTTCCGTTCGTAGTTGTCTCGTCTTCATCTGAAATTTTAGGACGTTAGAGCATGTAAAGTAACAATTAAATAATTTTTATACCATAAAAAGTCAGTTCTAGGTTTACTTCGCCTTCTTCTAAATCATGTTTCGTGTTATCATTTTTGTGATAAGGAAATTTAAGTTTTTCGAAGGTATTGAGCTCGTCCAAATCTTCATCTGAAATTTTAAGGTGTTAAATGATGTAAATTGACAATTAAAATAATTCTTTCACCAGAAACAGTCAGTTCTTGGTTTACTTCGCTTTCTTCTAGTTCATGTTTCTTGTTATCATTTTTCTGATAAGGAAATTTAAGTTTTTCGAAGGTATTGAGCTCGTCCAAATCTTCATCTGAAATTTTAAGGTGTTAAATGATGTAAATTGACAATTAAAATAATTCTTTCACCAGAAACAGTCAGTTCTTGGTTTACTTCGCCTTTTTCAAAGTCTAGTTTCGTGCTCGTAAATATTTCATCTCTTTTCAATTTCTTTTTATTTTCTTTTTGCGAATTATAAATTTTTTTCAACGTCTTTTGATTATCAATTAATTTCCGTCTCAAAATCGTAAAATCTTTGAATAATTCGAAGCAATTGTCACAAATAACTTTTGAGTAATTTTCCGAAGCAGTGAGTGTAGTTTGAGTTATTTCTAAAAATTGATTGTTGATTTGATTATTTATTGTAATTTGCGTTTCGTTTTCGTCAAAGTATTCGAGACACAGACGGCAATATGAACTGTGGAAGGAAAGTGCAAAACACGTTTAAAAACCTGCTAAATATGGTTAATGAAAATTAAATATTTATACTTTTGTGTTAAATTTTGGAATGAAGTCATGTCATTGACTTTTGAATCTGTAAAATCCATACTTTCAGCTGGATTTTTGGATGATGCTTTTTATATACAGTTAAATCTTTATAAATGAATTATTAAATGAAGAAAAGAGAATTTTACACTTTTGTTTGCGCGCACAAACCGTCAATAACTGAGAAGACCAAATTTATGTCTCGTCATTCGACAATCGTAGCTTGCCCCTGTTTTAGGATTAATTTGTTCAAATATTATATTGAAATATGGATTTTAGCGATTCAAATGAAAAAACACTAGATCGGGATGTTGAAGAATCTTGTATAATAGTTGAGAATGCAGATATATCTGCAATAACTATTGAGGATTCTATTGTTGAGAATGAGCAAATTCAGGACGAACAAATTTGTTCAACTCAAACAGATTCAGCATTTGAATCTGAAAAAATTCTGACAGAAGAGTTTCAAGTCATAGATGAAGTAGGTTTTTGCAGCAGTCAGGAATCTATAAAAGAAGATGGACACGAGAACGGAGTTGCTGTAAGTTTAGATAATAGTTTGTAGTGAACTTAATGCTTTCATTTTTTTCTTCATTTCAGCAACCGCATGAAAATATTGTTGTTGATTTAAATTCTACACCGATAGTAAAAGACGATCCCAAACAGTCAAAAATGCTTATTGACATCAAATTCCATAATCGTAAAACATATCTAGCATTCCAGGAAGAATTCATCGCACTTGTGAAAAATTATTACAAATCAAAGATTGATGATATGAACATTCACGATGATATGTCAAACAATCGGATTCAGATATCTGAGAAGGTTGTTAAAAAAAGTGATGGATTTCTCATAGATAGTACTCCAAACAGTAAAAATGTAAAAGAAGCTGAATCGACTCCAACTTACAGATCATCGTTTGGAAAAACAATATTAACTGGAATAAAAGAAGATTCTTCAAAGAAGTTAACAAATTCACCATCGAGAAATATATGCTTCAATTGCGATAAAGAGAATCATTCACTACGAGATTGTCCTGAGCCTCGTAATATGAAAAAAGTGAACAAAGCAAGGAATGAATTTAACAAACGTGATTTACGTTATCACAATGATAATGATAATGAATATGGACATTTGATTCCTGGAAAGATAAGCGATGAACTGAAAACAGCATTAGGATTGAAGTCTAACGAAATTCCGCTTCATGTTTATCGTATGCGACTGCTCAACTATCCTCCAGGTTGGATTGAAGAATCCAAAATTCATAACAGCGGGTTATCAATGTTTGTTGATAGAAATTTGAAGCAACTGCAACCTGATGAAGATTTAGGCGAAACGGATGTAAGCGACTTCAAATATGATTTACAGAAAATTTATGATTTTCCTGGATTCAACGTTTCTCCTGAAAAACCATTTGCTGACATGTTTAGAATGTACGAAGTACCGCCAATGAATCTACAACAATCCAAAGATGAATTTATTCAATCTCTAGGCGAAGCTGTTGTTAATGGGTATAAGAAAACAAAACTTAATCAATCGTTATCTTTTGTGGACACAAACGAAGACAATAAAACTTCAGATGGGGTTGCTGACATGGATCTTGAAGATGATGCTGATGAAGAGAATCCACCATTCCCTGTTACTTCATCTCCTGAGCCACCAATACCTGGTGACAATTCCATGTGTGATTCCGAGCCAATGGAAGACGGAGAAATTAAAGATGATTCTTGCGAATCATTAAATCAAAATGAAATTGTCAATCATGAATCGTCGTCATCTGTTAACATCACACCAACTATGTCGTCACAAATAATAATTTCAAAACAAAATCACATGAAGGAGACAATCATTGAAAATAGTGAAAATGAGAATCGAGATAATTGTGCAAAAAACTCATCGCATCAAATATCAAATGGAGAAGAGAGAACCGGATTAGTTGACGCGACCATTTATGGATGTCCAGTACTGCCTTCATTTAGTGGTTGCAATTCCCTACCTGATGGTGAAAAGTTTCAAGAAGGAGTCTGTGATGTTATTAATTTTGAGAATCTCTCTGAATCAACGGGAAAGTATGAGAAGATGAAAACAATCATCAAGAAGGTTCGAATCTTTCAAAAAGATCATCACAAAGAATGACAAAATTTATGAAATTGAATTGATAGAAAAAATTTATTTCACTTTGATTTGTGTGCCGACTTGACTTTCAATATTGAAAGTTTCGCTTTTGACAATGATAAATAATTCATCTACAGAAACACACAATGAATGCTAAATTTCAAATAAAAGGGTTAATTAAAAAATAATTATAATTAATTGCATTTAAATACATCTTTCTTTTATAATTTTTATGCAAGTTATGTTAATTTTAATTTTAAGATTATCTTAGATAATTGGAGAAAGAAAAAAATAGAGAAGAAGAAATAAAATTAAACAGCAAATTTCTATTGAAAAACAATAAGAAAATATTTAGTTTCTATTAGAGGAACTTTAAGATTCCAAGGAGGTTTAGAATGTTGTTGATGATGTTGTCTAGTGGAAGTAAATTGTCAGGGAACAACTGAAAGTTTTAAAAGAAACTTATTGGATTTTGTTTTCAATGTGCAGATCTTGGAAAATTGTTAAACTAAAAACTTTCAGGCCCTGCTTGAAATATTTCAATGTCTCGTGTTAATTCATCAGTTAGCTGTTGGGGGTTGGTCATCTCTTGATGGATGCTAAAATTAAAAGAAGAAAAAATTTAAGCTTAACAGTTTCGAAAAAAGTCTCACGTCATCTCTTGATGTTTTGTTCAAGCCTTCGTCACGTCTGCGTAAGGAATTCGGTCTGATTAGGTACAAAATCACAGCAGCAATCATCATAAATATCATGAATGTGAAGTTATCAGATGAATCGGAACTCGGACTAACAGTGACAGTTTGAGGAGTCACTAAATCCCTGCATTCGTAATCAGTGCATTCACTTTGTCCATGTCTCAGCTATAAATCAAATGGAAAAAAAAGTTACAAATTAACTTTTGTTAAAACATAATAAAAGAAGAAATATGATAAAAACATGAACCTTAGCAAAAGTCAAATATCAAAAAATCATACGCGAAATAAATGCAAAAGGTTATTCTTGTTTTCTTCTTTCAGCTCTTCTAACAGCTTGTATTTGTTTATTTACATACAGCAAACACATTCAAACGTGCGAAAAGTACGCCGCTGAGTATTAAATCATATGTTTCTTATTTAGTGTTGATATACTTATTTACAGCGGAACGCTTATCGTGGAATTCTATGATTGGTTGCGTAATGAATGGAAGTTTACTTTAACTGTAAAGTATGAATAAAATTAACACTCACCAAATTTAAAAGCCGTCTCATTGCAAATTCGTGAGAGAAAACGCACTCGCATGGGTCATAAGAATCCTGATCGTCACTCATTTTTTATATTTAGATATCAACAATAATATCAATTCAAGTTGAAAAGCAAAATATTCGATTGCGAACTTGACTTTATTGCATCAACTGTCTTCGTTTTCTGCTGAAAATTTATAAACAAAAATAAATTTAAATAAAACAATGTCTGAATGAAAATTGAGAAGAAAAAAAACATGAAGATGATGATTCAGGTCATTCGACTTTTTTCGTTTGTGGGAAAATTATAAAGAAAAACGTACAAAGAAAAACTTCCTCGTGGAAAACATGCGAACGTAAATGTTTTTCTTTTTTTGAATAAAAAAAAGCGACAAAGAAATTTTTTTGTAGCAAAATTAAAACACGGAATAATAATTGACGTTGAACAAAATAATTTTAAGCAACTGCGGAACTTTCCAATTTTTTTCTATGAAAAATTTTTAATTGAATTTTCATGATAAATCAGAAACCTTTTCAACCACATGATTAAACATTTTATACCTTATGAAAAACTTTAAGAACTTATTATAATTTTCAGCTGATCCTACTCAGGCGAGAACGAAGACTACACTGATGAAGTGTGGGAATGAAAATAATTAAAGTTAGCAACTCAGAAAGTTTGTTCAGATAGAAGAATATTTTCCATGGATCAAGCTGCGCATTATTGACAATGGATTAATGTTGCTCTGTGGTGAATATCTTGAAGTTGGTTTTACACCATAAAAAAACGTTTTCACAGCTTTCGTGATATTATGCGAGTTTATTTTGCTCAAATTATGTTTAAATATTGAAATGAATAAAAACTACATGAAGGTAAATATGTTTCGTGGAATTTTATTCATCACCTTGACTGATCACTTGTAGGTAATGTAAATATCGAGAAAAATGTCTTCTGATGTTACTTCTAAATTATTACTTAGAATTATTAAAATTATTACATAAAAATGTCACCACAAAAATGTCATTTTGAAAATAATTTCAAATGAAAGAAGTGTTTTTAGAATAAGTTTTAAAACAATCAATGTTTAAAACAAGAAAAAATAAGTCAAACTGATCATGTTGATAATTTAACATATCGAAGCACTCGAGTGAAGAAAATGAACCTGCGCATGAATTTTTGTTATCACATTTGATTGGTCGTTGGAATAAAAAATATTCAAAAAACAAAAAAGTCAAGAAGTCGAGCTCTTTCTATAAATTCCGCATCGTTAACAAATTCAGCTTCAGTTGTCCTTTAGAATTTCAACAGTTCAAAAACAAAAATTCTGGAAGTGAAAGTGACTTCAAATAAAAAAAAGCTTTTTGTAAAAGATTTAAATCTTCCTGTTCATTCAACTGAAGTTACAATAATTTTCCTTAAGTTTAAAATTATTTTGTTGAATGTAAAGAATATGGAGAATTGCAACTTCTTGGCTAATTATGTGATTTATTAGTAGGAAAAAGACTCTACATCATTTTCAAGTTAGTATTTGAAGTATTTATTAATTAGTTTGAAATTACGTCAAAAGTATACGCTTTGCATATGTAATATCAATTGCACGTACTCAAGGAGATAAGGATATAAGTAGATAAGGACTCAACTGTGAAAATTCTGTGCATCGTTACTAAGATTAGTTTTTGCTTTTCATTTCCCTTATTGCTTAAAATATTATTGAAACTTATAAAGCAAAAACACGAAGACAGTGGCTGCATATATTAGAAAAAAATATTTTTGTCAAAAATAAGATATGGCAAAAAGAAATGATGAAAAATGCGAATGCTACTATGAGGTTTAACTACATTTAATTTACCTTAATACGTATTTCGATAGCGAAGAAGCTACCAACATCACAAGATCGATTTATACTGAAGATTATCTCTTAGTGTACATCAGTTTTTTCTTAGCATACACGTCAGTTTATTAAAATAAATGTTAAGGTAAATTAAATGTAATAAAACGTCATAGAAATTTTCAATGTATTAATTTAGTGTTTGAAGATTTTTGGAACAACATAGGAAAACTTAATATTCTATAAATAATGTCACATAAGTATATAATTTAAATATGTTAAATAAATATGTTAAAAAACAATCAGCATTAAATGTAAATTAGAATTGCATTAAGATTACGATTTTATGTGGTTGTTTATTTCTCACAGACAAAAATACGAGAATTCAGAATAGAGCGAGATTAATAATTAACTATTTTACAAAACTTTATTGCTTTTTTAAAAGCTCTCTTACTTGAAACAAGGTTTGAACACAGCAGCAAGGTGAAGTCCGATATAAACATTTTCAGAATAATTCAAATTTTGATTTGTTCATATGAAAAGACATTTTTGCGTGTTTGGTGCATCATAACTCATCGTCTTTGACAAAAGTATAAAGTGCATCGACCATTCTTCTGTCTTTTCATTCAATAAAAGCAAGAGTAATGAACAAGCATCTTGAGACTCTTTTTAAGATTCTCACATGCAATTCACGTATAGAATGCCCTCAAAGCATTAACAGCAGAACAAGAGAGAAGACAGAGAAGAAGAAGAAAAACTAGAAGTTCTCTGTTCGTTTAATATTTGAGCTAAAATGTATTTTCCGTCTCGGACTGTTGCAGCTTAGTTGAATGTTAGACTTCATGAGCTAAAGTCGCTTGAATAACCGTGATTAAGAAATGTGGCTAAGAAAGTGAACGTTATTTAAAAGCAAATTCTTGTTTTTTTCATCTGTTCTTGATTAATTAGTATTTTGGATGATAAAATTGCTCAGATTCCTTTTTCACATCAATCAAATATTAATCTAAAAAATGGCAAAACTATCAACACCAAGCAAAGAAGAAAATGGTACAAAACAATTCTAGCATTAATTTAAGTTAGATTGAAATTGTAGAAGAAAAGAATTTTAGTTTAAATTCGACTCTTCCGGAAATTAAAAATAACGCAGCAATTACTTTCATGTCTAAATAAAAAATTTAATTAGATTAACTTACTTCCATGACTTGTATGCATAAACTGATTTAGTGACAAGCAAATATAATTTCGTTTTCCTCAAAATCATATTCAAGTGTCGTCCTTTAGTCCAATAATATGTCGTACAAATTTTTAAGATTCAAGAGCCACTCGATCAGATTAACAACATTCACCTTTGACTAAATGAAACCATCTCATTCATGAATATAAGCTCTTGAAAATCAAAATTAATAATCGTGTTAGATGTGTTGATTATATTATGTTAAATAATAATAATCTGATGACTTCATTGGAACTAAATCAATAGCGATGTATGAATTCCCAATGCTGTCAATGACTTGGGGTTTTCAACACGAAAATGTTGACCGATTCTCAAGTATTCGGATGTACTTCACATCATTTAGAGCAAAAAGCAATATTATTTGATATCAATGACGTGACAAATATGTTTTAACATGCAAACAACCAATAATAAAAAATAATTCAATGAATCTGGTCAAATATCTTGAAATTCAGGTTTGAAAGAAAAAATAATCGTCATAAGTATTCAGATTTACTTATAGGTATTTAAATTAAAACAAGGTGTGCTGAGATACATCGAAGTGATAAAGACAACGATTTTTCTGAGAATTTCGGTATTTCTTTAAAAAACAAAAACCTGTCTATGGGAATTTTCATGAGTCGCGAAAGTTATTTACTTATTTTAAATTATTATCAAAAAATTCCCATTGATGTTTGTTATTAAATATCAAATCTTTAAGTAGGAAGATACAGACGATTACTTGCTAAATAAATAAATAATAATGACTCAGTTATGAACAAGACAAAATTATTTGATGACATTCTTCATATTTGGTTGGTAATCTTTCGTTTATTTACTAATAATAATAAAAAAATTTACAATTTCAATCAATGACTTATGAATAAATATGTGTGAGAAGAATGTTATTGGATTATTAATTTACATAAACCAGACTAAATAGAAAGTCTAATCTTGACGTGTGCCTCTTGCAGTTGATCACAAAAAGTGGTCTCGCATTTAACATTCTTTTAAGAATGTTTAAACATTTTTATTAAAATTTTAAATATCTAGCATTGTAAGCAAATAAAAGGTAAAAAAAAAATGTTTCAAGGTCTCAATGTTTCACAGAATCTTGAGTGTTAAATTGTTTTTGAAAATATTCAAATTAAAGCAAAACAAATAATTTGGAGTTAATTCTTCTGATCATTATTTTGGCATGTTTCAAATGACCACAAAATTGAGTTGTTTGACACTGAATTACATATTTGATATTACCAATCAATGATAATTTCGACTTTCGCTTCCATTTATCATTGAACAAATCTATTAAATTTATTAATTCCAATTTTAAAATTTCTTTCTTATCTTGTTTATAGGAGATCAAGGTGGCGCCTTGCTCGAACCTGGAATCTCAATGTCGCTTCTTGGGCGATTCAAAGCCCCAAGAGTAGCTACTGTTGTGCCCGAAGAAGAACGAGAGACATGGTCAGGAAAGGTTGATTTTTTATTGTCAGTGATAGGTTTTGCCGTAGATTTAGCCAACGTTTGGCGATTTCCTTATCTATGCTACAGAAATGGAGGAGGTAAGAGACTGAAGCAATTAATATTTCTAAACTTCACTGAACTATGTAAAATATTTGTCTTTTGATAAAGAACTTTAAATTTCCTCATGAGTATTACTTGGTTTATCGATTTTTCAAAAGCAATTTTCTATCATAAGTTTCGTTAACATCAGAGTGAAAGAGAAAACCATTAAACGTTAAAAAATCATTTTGCTACTGTCATGATAAGTCAATTATAAACGCCTTTAAATTCATTATTATTTTCATTTTCGTTAGACTTTCATGTCATCGAAACATGAAAGTATCATTTACAATCAAATTATCAATGAATGCTCTTCATAAAAGATTCTGAATTCATGAGATTTGAAAGAATAAATGAATGGAGTCGCTCGTAGAATATGAAAATTTAAGAACAAAAGGAAAAAGTTTAAAGATCGAAAAAGGGAAAAGTCGGAAATAGCAAATGACTGAGAAAATTAGCAACTTCCGCCTTCAGCTGACACTTTTCTCTCTTTTGTTCGTAGAACAGGAAAGAGAAAAGAAAATTATGTCAAGCTTTTCTTTCGATTCTTAATGTTTTACAGTCTTGTAAGGATTATAACAGCATGTGGAAATGTCTGGGAAATTGTGAAAATCTCACACTTACTATAATGTACGATGCGTAATTTTTCCATTCCATTAAACATTTTTTTTTAAATTTCCTCACAAGAATTTTTTTTATTTCTTCAAATCTTTTTCGTTACATTCATGGATACGATTTAACATTTTGATCACACTTCCAACTTCTACTTGTTGCATTGTCCAGTGAAGATTTTTTTCTGAGATTTTTCTCAGATTTCCTTCACTTTGGCAACACGAATCCTTTTCCCCTTTTCTCCCGCTAGTCTTTCTCGTCTCACCCCATGGATACTACAGTTGGAAAAGAATTCTTTTCTTATCCGCTTAAAAAGAATAGAAATATCTGATTTTTTATTCCCACAGCATTCTCAACATTATGACATTATTAGCTTTCATAAAGTATCTCGGGGATGATGTAAAAATGATGCCATGATTTTATTGTGGCATAATTTTCATTTTATTTTCATCCAATTTAGTTATTATCGTACACTACCATAAAATCCATTGAAATGAAAAGGAATGAGAAATACTTTAGGAAGCAATGAAGCGACAACTAGAGCATTGACCCATCATCGACTTATGATTTTAAATTCCATTACAGGTGCTTTTCTTATACCATATTGTATCATGCTTCTCGTCGGTGGAATTCCATTATTTTACATGGAATTGGCTTTAGGACAGCATGAGAGGCGCGGTGCAATTACTACTTGGGGGAATCTTGTACCTTTATTAAAAGTAAGTTATCTTGGAAATCAATTTGTGATTGAGCTACGAATAAGCTTGAAGTTGTTCTTTATTCAGAATAAGATGGAAAGCAATAATCCGATCAAATATCAATTGGAAAATTATATTCTAAGAGCTTTTGTTAAAATGAAATCCCGTGATAAATGCAAATCAATTTTCTAACTTTGACATAAGTTTTCAAGTGTAAAAATATAATTAATATTCAATCTTTGCTTTCCAGGGAATAGGCTATGCTGTTGTCCTTATCGCATTTTACGTCGATTTCTTTTATAATGTCATCATCGCGTGGTCATTGCGATTTTTTTTTGCTTCCATCACAAATGTATTGCCATGGACTTCATGTACAAATGACTGGAATACGAATTCCTGCAAACCAGTAAGAAATTATTTAAATTTTCAATAATGTTTAAAAGTCTGTAGATCAACATTAAATTTGGAATATTTCACTTGCAGTTTGAAGCCAATTACACTCGAACAACGATAGTCCCAACCTCATTAATTTCAACAACTGTTATGCCAATTCTAAATAGCACGACAACCGCAATCAGCAACCAAACCACTTTACTAAACGCGACTGTTGTAAAAAATGTCCCACAATCATTTTCGTCAGCATCATCGGAATATTTTAATCGTTACATACTTGAAATTCACAAGTCCAGTGGAATCCACGATTTGGGTATCATTAAATGGGAAATGGCGAGTAAGGACGTGAACATTCTAAATTAATTTCATTATAAACTTTTATATATTTATTTATTTTTTTTCATCGCAGCATGTCTTCTCATCGTGTACTTAATTTGTTACTTCTCGTTATGGAAAGGAATCAGTACGAGTGGAAAGGTGAACATTGATTAAGTTTTAAATACTTAAACTTAGTGACTGTTTTTCAGGTTGTTTGGTTTACTGCTTTATTTCCTTATGTCGTTCTGTTGGCACTTTTAATCCGTGGGTAAGTATTTCCTTCTAATGTTTCAAACCTCAATGAATTTATTGAACTTTAAATGAACATTAATTTTATAAACTTTTAACAGAATAACTCTTCCGGGCTCTGGTCAAGGCATCGCGTATTATTTAAATCCAGATTTCGAGGCAATTTATAGGCCTACAGTATGGGTTGACGGTGAGCTTTAATTCTTATTGAAAATATTATATAAATAAGTAAATATTTAATGAAATTTTATTCCAGCTGCAACACAAGTCTTCTTTTCACTCGGACCGGGCTTTGGTGTGCTTTTGGCTTATGCATCGTATAATAAATATCACAATAATGTTTACAAGTAATTATTTACACATTTAAACTTTATTTGAACTTTATCATTACATTCATTTTTCAGAGATGCCCTTTTAACAAGTTTCATCAACTCTGCAACTTCGTTTGTTTCTGGTTTTGTAATTTTCTCTGTTCTTGGTTACATGGCACATACATCGGGACAAAAAATCGAAGATGTGGCAACAGAAGGTCCAGGATTAGTGTTTGATGTTTATCCAGCAGCAATTGCAACAATGCCTGGTTCAGTTTTTTGGGCTTTGATCTTCTTTATGATGCTGTTAACACTTGGCCTTGACAGTTCATTTGGGGGATCAGAAGCAATCATCACTGCACTCTCTGATGAATTTCCTATAATCAAAAGAAATCGCAAAGTTTTCGTTGCATGTCTCTTCTCGCTTTACTTTGTAGTTGGTTTAGCCAGTTGCACACAAGGAGGGTTTTATTTCTTCCAACTTCTTGACAAATATGCCGCTGGATATTCGATTCTCATTGCTGTGTTATTTGAAGCCATTGCTGTTAGTTGGATTTATGGCACGAAAAGATTTTGTGCAGATATCAAAGATATGATTGGATTTACTCCGGGATTGTATTGGATTTACTGTTGGAAATTTGCAGCGCCACTTTTTCTAATATTCATTATCGTTTTTGGATTGATTAATTATGAGCCACTTAAGCACGGAACTTATGAATATCCATTTGAGGCGAACTGTTTAGGTTGGGCTATTGCAATTTCATCTATGTCGATGATTCCACTGATGGCAATTTATAAAGTAAGTTTAAATATAAGATTTTTTTTCATCAACAAATTTACATAATTCCATCATTTATCATCAGATAATTATAACACCAGGAAGCTTCTGCGAACGTTTGAGAATCTTAACAACACCAGTTAAAGATCAAGTTCTGCAGAACATGAATGGTGTGACAACTGAACCAGCACAAGTGAGATTAAAAAATTCAGAAGGTGAAGAAGTTTGAATGATGAAAAAATCAAGGTTCAGTGTTTATTATGTATAAAGCAACTTCATATTACCAAGCGCTGCACATTGCTGTGGATTTTTTAGATTAAATGAATATTTAAGAGAAATTGAAGCAATTTAAGTGATTTTTATTAAAAATAGTGAAGCACAAAATGCTGTGTAGATAATAGTTTAGATTTAACAATGCTTGCGAAAGCAGAAGTAAAAATGTTAATGTACAATAATGTTGAAAAGTTTCTGGCTTTAAAAGTGAATAATTAATATATCCCATATATTATAAAAATATGTTAAATTATAAAGAAAAAGGCAAAATCACTTTAAATCACTAGCTAATTTAAACATTATCAACCAAATCAATGTTGTTAAATTATGAAGATAAATTTTATAAAACTTGGGGGTTTATTATAAGCATAACGGAAATTTAATGTTTGAATTGAAATTTTTGAAATTTTAAATGTCGTTATAAATTATTATAGCAGAACTGCTAGAAAAAAAGCTTTTAAGAAGAGCTTTCAATATATTAATTCAAGTTCTATATAATTTATATTGTTCCAAATTGTTCTCGTGTTTGCCATCAACATCCAATTAATGTCTTTAACATTGAACGATATTTAAGAGGAGGACAAGTTTTATTATTTTTATTTTTATTAAGTAATGAATGAAACAAATCGGGACTGATATGCAATGAAATCTGAGAAGGACAAACTCAGGATCCATCGTTCATTGATTTAATCTCTGATTCAATAGGCAAACACTACCCAAGCAATAGTAAACATGAGTTAAGAAGGCAAAGCATAATTTGGAACGAATTTTTTACACAGTATGCAAAGATTGAGACCATGGTGATTGATTTATTGTTATTTTATCAAGCTTTTGGCATATATAAAAAGTTAAAAGCCTTGAGTATTGCCAATCGGTGATTGAACTCTCCAAACTTTTTGGGTGTTTATCGAGCATTCCAAGTACTCAAAGTAGTAAAAAAGCGTTTTATTCGCATTGTTAGACGATAATAATAATTGAAAGAAAGGATACAAATTTTTGCTGAGCTGTTTCACAATGGTTTCAGATTCTTTTCATGAAATACATGGAAGCAGCCATAATCTGTGACTATTATAACAATTTAGGTGAAAATTTGATGAGACATTAGAAATTTTATTGAAATGATGATTCATAAAGCATTTATGTTGATTGATATTAATTGCTTCTTGAGACAGCCATTCGAGGATCAATGCAAATTTCAACATAAATACCATTATGTGATGAAGGAAAAGAGATCATTTATATACAATAATGATGTTCAACCATCAATTGCAGGTTTTTGAGCAAGGAAACGAAAGAAAAAATAATTTTTAAGGCGTGGATGTAATTTTTTATTTTATAAATTAAAAGCCAGATTTATCTTGATGTCCATTAATCTTTTTGATCTTTTAATTCATCAACAACGAGACTCACTTCATGGGCTGAGTTTTAGTCATTTTAAAATTTTACTACTTCAATTTTCTTTTGAAACTTAATTTCAAAATTTCTGTATAAGTTTTCAATAAATTATTTTCATTGTTTCCATTTAATAAGTGTTTATAATATTTCTAAGTACTATAAGAATTTAATTTCTCTTACAGGTTAATACTTCAAGAATTCATTATTCGCAAGTAGTTCTATTACAGAAAGAGAAATCATGGAAAATTTTCACAGAATTTAAGATACCACGTGACGAACAGTGTGATATAAAATATAAGAAAGATTCCTATGAAAGTTTAATTTGCCACGATTGAAGGCTAAAACTATTAGATATAAATCTTAATTATCACCATAAGAATACACTTTTAACTCTCTTTTAGTAGCTCTCCGTTTGAGAAAGTCTTGACTTGATATTGGAAACCTTTCCTCAGAATACATTTAATTTTTTCTTAAGAGTCATGAATACAATTACACGCTTGATTGATATTATGTTATTTCAATGAACTCTTCCATGAAAATATCGAATTTTTCCTCATCTAGACTCTCTACTATGTATTAATCAACATCAAATTAATTTAAATTCAATATAAAGGTTTAAAAATTTCACATAAAATGTTTGTTCGCAACAGAAGGTTTCAAAGGGATTTCACGAAGCAATAAAAACATTTAAGTGGCAAAAATTGTGTCAAAAAAGTCATAAAATATCTACATAGAATTGCCAAAACGATAACAACGCCAAAGCGCAATTGTGTAAAACATATATCTAAGAATTCGAAAAGAAAAACAAACAAATTTGAAACGATTTTCAAGTTGTTATTCCTTCAAAATATTTCCACGAAAGAATCGTCAATACATCCTTTAAAGAGAAAATTCTTTACAAAAAATAGGATAACAAGGAGTTCTGAGTTCCCTTCATTTTGAAGATTGGCAAATTGCGAGCATTTCCAGATGTTATCGGATAGATTATCTACAAATGTTGTCCTCAATTATTTCTATTTTATTTCTTTATATTTTAACTTCAAATCCATTAGCTTTAACTTGTCTTAAATTTTATTAGAAGTTTAATTAATGTTTTCTTCATTATTTTAACTCCAGTTAATTTTCATTCCAGCATATTATGTCATGATTTCGCTATTTATTCGAGCATGTTAAGCCATGTTTTCCTTTATGTCATCAATTAGCTTTAGTTTTTTTGTCACATACATACATACATAAATAGTTTTTATTTATTTTAAAATAATTTCATTTACCATGTCTGTTAACACGTGATCAATTATAGTTTTAGAATTTCATTTACCAATAAAAGAAAATTCTCTAAATTTTTAAAGTCATCAAATCTGTTAAAGTCTTTCAGATTTTCTTTTCAATTTTTAAGACTTGAGAGATTGACGGAAGAAAGTTGAGATGATAATTAAGAGAAAATTGAGAGTCCTTTTTCATAGATTGTTTTATTGTTTAAGATAATTGCGAGTTGTCTTCAGTTTCTAGTTTCCACCTTTAAAAATTGGTGTCCGGATTATGTCCATGCATGCCCAAGAAACGTGTGTGCTCTTGATGAGTTCCATGTGCTTTCAAAAGTTGTAGCTTCAAAAAAGTTTATTGAAGTGTCTGGAAAAACGATTAAGTTTTCATAACGACCTCAAGACTGAGTCATGAGTCATGACAGATTAAAGACAGATTAATTTCTCGTTAATTCTTAATTAAAATTAGTTTACACTTTGAGATTTTGGTTTTACTCTTTAAGTCGCTAAGGGTTTCAAGAGTCTTAGCAAAAGAAAATGTTTAAATTATTTGAAGCTTCGAGAAGAAATTTTTTTTCTGAAAATGACTAAACACGAATCTTCAAAGAGATGCCAGGTTGAAAATTCATTTGCCTTGAAAACTCAACTTTATTGTGACAGAAATGAATTCAACATCAATCATGATAAAAGAAAATTTCAGACAATTTTTTATTGATTCAAATTTTATTTATTATTTATCAATTTTATCAAATACAGTAAAGACATGGACATTATCAAATCTCTTGACAAAAAGCCTTTTCCTTTGAACTTTTTGTTCTTATTCTCATGCAATTAATTATTTACTTATGGACCTAGGTAGATGTTTATTTAACAGCAACTTTTCCAAATTTTTCACATCACAAATATCATTCGACTTGATTTAATAAATATGACCAGCATAAATGATTTAACAGCCATAATTTTTTTTTGAGTGAAAAAGCAACACATTTGTTCATGCATGTTTTATATTTTATGACTGGTTTTACGAAACCGAGCATGAATGTCGCTTGAGTGAAAACTTCGGTGAACTTGATGAATTTGCAAACGATGGGAGTGACTGACGTCGGCGTCTCACCGCGGGACTTAAATTATATCTGATTTTTGCCTGTACAAGCAGCTCCTTGAACACGTTCACAATATTCTCATTGTTTTTCGCTGAACATTCAACAAAGCCACATTCCCAATCCAATTTTACAATCGACTCAACAACTTCTTTTGTCATTTGCCTTTGTTCATAGGATAAATCCATTTTGTTACAAACAACCACAATCGGCACTCTTGGTCCACGTAGTTGGATTATCTGTTATAATAAAATCAATTATGCTTTGAGAAAAAAGAAATTAAAATATTTATTTTATGCTTCGTTTACCTTTTTTCTAAGGCATTCCACTTCATTCCATGAATCTTCATTGTCAATACTAAATACGAGAATAAAAGCGTTTGAAGTTCTTATCGAAAGTTCTCTCATGGCAGGAAAGGAAAAAGCACCAGACGTGTCCAAAATATCCAAGGTTAACGAACTGCCATCAGGAAGTTCGTATTCTCCACGATGAAGTTGTTCAATTGTTTCACGATATCGATTTGTGAATTTATCATACAAAAACTGTTGAATGATTTGAGTTTTTCCAACAAAAGCAGCACCCATCACAACGACCCGATGCTTTTCTTTGAGTACATTATTTCCGCCACCGGCAAAAGCGCCGCTTGCAGATGTTGTAGAGGGTCGACTTGCCTGAGTCAATGTCACATGCTGAGGTGACAAGTTCCGTTGCCTTTGAAACGAAGGAAAAACTCTAATACTTGTGACAGGGAATTCGGACAGCTTAAGGTTGCGAGTACAATGCGAAGTTACGCCCGACATGTTAATATTTGTTTTGATTTCTGTAGAACTGGAAAATACTGAACAATAAACAAAAATGAATCACTTAATCACACACTTGTGTTATTGTTTGCTTTGCTGTTATTTAGCCAATAATATTTCTCATTCTGTTTAACAAAATTATTTTTTCCTTTCACATCTATTTAACATTAACACAACATCATATTTATCGCAACTGATGAATTGAAATCATGTTGTTAAGCAATCCTTTTTAACATGAAATTATACTTAATACCTGATGGTATTCCTATTATCGCTATTTTCTTTGTTTCTCACGCTTGTTGGTAGTTAAAAGTCAATTGATTAGCATGACACATTTTGTTATTCTTCTAACTAGCTTTAATCATTCTATTTGTAAACATAAAAAAATATTTCAGAGAAGCTTATCTGATAAGAAAATTAATTTTCATTTTTCTTTAACGCTTGTGATAAAAATTATGATTTTTCTTTATCAGTAATAATTATAATGTTTTTCACTGATTACAGGTGAATTTATGCTTCTCTGGAGAATTATGTTTATGTCACTGATTAGATACAACTTGAACTTCACTAAGGGTTCGTTTTCTAAGAGAGAAATTACATTAATCTAAACCTGGCTGCTTTCTGAAGCTCATCTCATGTAAACATTTTCAAAACAAACAATAACAGAGTCAATTTAAATTTTCATGAAACATTTCACTCTAAAAGAGATAATAACATAGATTCCCATTACCTTTTTATTAAAATTATGGAAAATCTCGTTTTATGTCACACAAATTTATGCGAATATTTTTGAACACACAAAAGTGTTTTCTTCTTTAATAACGCAATGAAAAATATTTTTCTATCCGTTTATGTCGGTCTATTCTGATTGATATTAAATATTCAACTGATAAAATTTCCTATTCAGTGCTGAGCTTTTATAAATTTTCGTTGCTTTTCCGACCATTTTCACTCTCATTTCTCTCAAAGAGAAAATTCAAAAAAAAGTTTTGATGAAGAGAAGAGAAATTTGACATCGTTTAAGTCACGTTTTTGTGTTATGCTTTTAAACATATGTTTTGCTTTATATTGCGTACGTAGCTCATATTAAAAGGGGATCTTCGTTGAATAGATAAAAATCACATTTTCGATACTTGCTTTTATTAATGATTCTCAAGACATGAGATGAGACATGAACACGGGTTGTATGGAAGATTTTACCTACGTTAGCGGAAAATTTATAACAAAATATTTATATCAAGAAATTGACAGCTTTAATCAGTGACTACTGAAGGTTTTTATTCTGTTAAATATCCTAAATTTATCATGATACATGTGACAATGAAATTTTTCGTGTTTCCGGCGAATGAAAATTTTACCAGGAAATATTTTTCATATGAGATTTATGTTTGTTTGTATGTTTCTAGAATTGTTTGCGTAAGATATTTACTCACCTTGAATTCAAGAAAAAATTCTTATTTTTCCAGAATAAATAATCAATTGAATAACAGCTTTGAACTGAAAAATAACATACAAATTAGAAAGTTTCATTGAAAAACATTAAATTTCTTATCCTTTTGATTTTACGTAATTTATTGAAACATGTTATTAATTCCAAAACCAAAAACTTACATAATTTTATTATTCTTATTAGAAGACAACAGTTTATTAATTTATATAATCAATTTTATAGATTTAGATAATGCTTTCATCATTTTTATTAAATATTTAGGTAAACTTCTTTGCTTTCTTCTCTTTAACCCTTACAAATTTTTACATTCCTTCTTTTTAATGTCTGATCAATGAGAATTTTCACTTTTACAATATTATTGTTTTTCCCTTTATACATAGGAAGTTTTGATGAATTTCAGAAACAGTTGATAAATAAATATTTTCATTGTTAGCTATTTATTGTTGGTTAGATAATAGAATTATCAGATGAAAGGCCGATAACCGATTATTTCACTTGCAAATCTTCAACAATCTCTTTTTATTCAAATGAAAGCGAAGATTTCATAATAATAAAGTTTTAGATAAGTAATCCTGTGTTTAATTGTATTTATCGAGACACTTCACAATTTCCAAAGAAAATTAAAAATTTAATACGCATTTGAAAGTTTAATCGAATTAACGAGTTGGAAAAGTCTTTAGAAGAGAGATGAAGGGCGGCGAAAGCGTAAATAAGTGGAGTAAATGATATCTTCCTTTGTTAATTTTCATAGCAAGTCTCCAAATTGCGAAAGTCATAACAAATTTTCAGGCTTTTGACATTCAATAATTAATTATTTTTCATTTAATGCTTTCATGTTTGCAAATAGTGGGCTGAATATTAAATATCGACAAAATTCTTTACAAGAACCTTTAAATGATTGTCTGGTTAATAAGTTTTAAAGATGAAAATGAATACTGAACGTAGAAAGAATAAAGAATAAGCAACAATAGAAAACAATATTTACAGCAAGTGCTAAACTCAGCGAGCACAACAAAAGCCTTTTAGTCTTTTGACATGCTCCATTTTTTTCTTTCTTTCTTGTTGCCACTACCACAGCACAGTTAAATAATTATGTTCTCAACTATTGTAAATAATGTTTTTATTATGTTTTTTTTTCTCCCTCAACAAGCAAAGACTGCGTGGAACTATTTATTGAGAAATATCGTCGTCACGAGCAACATCCTCGCTTTTATAATCTCCATTTTCCCCCTTGTCGAACGAGCATCAAACTTCAATCTAAACTGAGCTCGTTAGTTAAAGATGCTTTTTTATGTTAACATTCTTCAAAGTGGAATTGGAGTTTGAAAAAGAAAGAAAAAAATATTTAAACACTTTTTCATGAAACGAAATGAATGAATTTTTCCAATGCTAATTACTAGTTCAAGTTTATAACAATATTTAGTTTATTAACTGATAACAATCAATAACGCGTTCATCATATTAACGAGAAGAATAGTTTTGAAACTTTATACTTGACTAACTTGAACATTTCCCATCATTTTATTGTTGTTGGCATTGTTTTCCATCAGAATATTAACTGAAGCAGAAGATGATGAAGAGAGTTGTTGGTGTGGTGGATCCACAAATGCACCATCCGAATCGCTATCATCATTATACGTGTCAAATGGTGAAATAATCCCATGCGATCCGTTACTTACTGCGCTGTCAATTTTTCCCATATGTAAAACATCCAACAATGGCTTTTCGTTGAGGTCAACGCCACCATCATTGCTAATTTCACTTGCACGCTTAATTATTGCGTTCGGAGAGTTGGTTGAAATTTTCAAGTCTCCATTATTGCTGCTATGGAGTTGAGAGTCTACTTCAATATTTGTGTGAAGAGACGCTTTACTGCTCTGTTTATCTTTACCCATCAACTTCTTGACGTTCTCCTTCGTCTCGTTCAATCCAACTTTCAAAACACTTTCCTTCTTTTCTTTTTCTTTCTCCTTCTCTTTGTCTTTATCCTTGTCTTTGTCTTTCTCACGATCAATCAGCTTTTTAAGTCCACCAAACGGTGCTTTGTGAGATTTTGTAGTTCCATCCTTACCCGATTTTCCACTTTGAACTTTTGCTGCATTTGCATCGCTTTCTTGTTCTTCGTTGATGCTCCCTAGAAGTTGATTTTGTTGTGAATTTCCACCAGCATGTGTATGTGCATGTGATGCACTTGCGTCAATTTGAATCGGAATGTCATCTGCAAAAGTCACAATTATGAATTAGTTTCATAAATAATTATAAAATTTGAAAAGTTATTAAAAGAAATATGATTAAAGTTTTTTTGAAAGGAAAAAAGTTTTACTAAAACTTTATCCATGCTTATTGTTAATCGAAAAGTGCTTCAGAAATCATTCTGTTATGACTGGTAAGAGAAGTATTTTAGATATCCATGTTGAACTTAAATAAATTTATCAGGAGATTGATTTGAATAGAATAGCAGAAAAAAATCATTCTTTGTATGAAAGTATGTAAGAAAATCTCTCAAACTCATACTACACAATTTGATGGGCGAATTATCCATCAATTGAGATGTTTAAAATTAGAAGGAATGTATGTAAATAAATACTCTGGCAAAGTATGATCGTCGTGCAAGCTTTCAATCCTAAAAATATTTATATCTCGAGTTCAATTTAAATCAGGGATTTGAAATTTTTTAACTTTGGATTTTTGATCGTGAATTTCCCAGCTTTGCTAATATAAATAAGAAAATTGAAATAAATGTTTAAAAATTCTTTATTTGATAAAACATTTCAGTTCCAATCCCTGCTAATGTTTTCTTTATTTTTAAACATTGTGGAAAGAGCTACGTTTTATTTTTCTTTTGCAAATTCTTTACTTGGAAGTCAATGTCAATTGGATCAAATGTTTCAAACGAGAATTTTTTAAGATAAATAAAAGTCAATGTTGGCGTTTCTTTTTTTAACTTTTGGGTATTCGTTTAACTTTTATGTGAACCTATTCAGACCTTAGATAAATAAATTTGTCAAATTTTGAATGAATTTAATTAAAATTAACAGTCTCATTTTTAATTGAGATAGGAGAAATTAAGTTTACATATATTTAACGTTCAGTGATGTTTATATTTAATCTCACTTTTCACGACGCTTTTATCGCATAGATAGACGGAATGTTTGCTGTAGTGATTTGATTTTGTGGTCATATAAACAACGTTTTCGAATAACCAAATCACTTGACAATAACTATAAAAAGTCTAAAGCATGTTTGTTTGTAATATGATCAGTCCCAGGCATTTAGAAATGTAATGGAGCTTACACACAACATGAAAGTTGATCGGATTTCTTAATGATTCGGAAGCTCATGAAATTTCAACATTTTTATCGTAGCGAAATTCATGAGCTTCCGAACCATCATCGCTTGAGGCGGAACAGCTTCTAAACCGGGATTGACATTTCTCAAAGAGAAAATTCAGGTCAATGTAATAAATCATTTAATATCAGATTTAATGAATTTAAATTTCGCATTTAGACATTTAAATTTTACGAAGAAAATCACCTAATTGTTGTGTCAACATTGACATTTACTAGTTAATCATTTTGAATTGTCAAATGAACTCTGAACATGTGAACCATGAAAGTTTAATTCACTTATAATTGTTTTTAAATCGGATGTAAATTCAACCATTTGATGAGAGATTTATTTTTGGGATAATCCATTACATTGTAAAAAAATATTTCAAAAATGATCCTTTGTGACAAAAACCTTTTCAAATTAAAATGAATTTATAAATAAATGATTTTAAAAATGAATTTGATGGAAAAATGTTTATTTCTTGTTTCCATCCACGCATTTTTAATTCTTTTTCAAGTGAAACATGAATAAACGTAACTCATGTGGCTTAAATATGAAATGTAAGTTCATCAGCATATCTTTTTTCATTTCACATGCTGCTCCGTCTCATGCTTTCAACCTTGTGCATTAAATGTTTCCTGCTGAATGTGCGGTTCTTAAATATGTTTTTGACAAGCTGTCGAAAAAATAACATGAGATTTACTCGCTAAACGTTTCCTAAGAATGTTTCCAACATGCGATGATAATTCAGCGATGAAGTTCTTAGATAATCAGTCACGTATCGATGAAAAATAATTAAGTGCCAGGATTGAAAAAGAGAAAACAAAGCCAGGCACAAAGAAAGAAGGAAACATTACAAAGATTCTCATCTCCTTTGTCAAAGGAAGCTAAATTTTTCTTTCTCACAACTTTTTTTACCTTCCACAGCTGATTGTTGACAACTTTTCTTCTTTCTCTCATTTATTTTTTTTTACTTTTACGAAGAGGAAATAAGTAGCAGGGGAAAAGTTTGTTGGGAAAGGAAATGAGATTCGGAAAAAGAGAATCGCAGCTTAAATATCGTCATGACGAGTTATGGTTTGAGTAATGTGGATAGTAGCGGGACGACCATTTTCCGGAAGAAAGGAGCCAAACCCTTCGTAATCTGTTCCAGGTTTTCCGGTTCCATTGTCTTCGTTATTGTCAAACATCTGGAGAAGACGAGCACCAGCACTTGAACGAAGCTCTGACTTTAAAGTTGTTTCTGTCTTCTGTTGTTTTGATCTTCGTCGAAAAGGAGTCAAAGACTCGTCGCAATTTGACAGAAGTTCAGTAGAATTAAGCTTTGATTTGTGTTTTGGTGATTGATTGGGAGTTGACGATATGGATGACGGAGATTTTTTAGGAGATTCAAGTTGAAAACTTTGCTCTTCTTCAATGCTTGAAGACTTTGTCGGATTATGTTTCCATCCCCAATTTTTCCAACGATTTCGTTTCGATGATCCCGCTAACATCCCTTCAAGCTTTTTTACGACTTTTGGCGTTATCGTTGGCGAAAGAGATTCAGAATATTCTCCAAATGTCGCATTCTCCTGACCCATTAGCGATAATTTTTTCATTAATTCATCTTGTGAAGTTTGTAAATGCTTCAAATCCACAATTTCCAAATCGTCTAGAGAAGTAAAATTTTACGTTTTTGTTGGTTTTATTTTTCGAATAAACATTAAAAGAATTTTTTTGGTGTTTTGATATAAACACAATAAGACGTGAAGAGAAGAAAAGATTTAATGAAACTGTCAGATTTAAGAGGTTTTAGAAAGGATTTGGTGAAAAAGTAAATTAAAGCAAAGCCTTTAAAACACGAAACTTGATAGAGACTGAGTTTTTCCAGAATGTAATTCGTTTAAATATTTCCTTTCACGACAAATCGAAGCTTTCATAATAAAGGAATGAGGAAAAGTCCGCTTTTCCAACTGAATCCACTCAGTCTCGTCAAAATAATAAATTGTAATGAGTGAACTTGGAACAAAATGAAAAAAATGTGAAAGCGTCGTGAAGTAAAAGGAGGATTTTGGGGACGGTCAATGTGGTGTGAGTGGAAATTTAATAGAAGGTAAAGAAAAGCTTTCGGTACATCTACTACTACAAAGTGAAATCGTGGAACCAGAAGTAGGTAAATAAAAAAGCGTAAAACGAATCTTTATTTGCGATTTTAATTAAAAGAAATGTTGGTAGATAGAAGCATAAAAGAAAATTCCTTGTTTAAATTTTTGTTGAAAATTTGAAGCAAATTATTGGGATGAAACAATGTTGCTCAAAAGCAGACTGTCATCATAACAACACAAAAGATTCTTTCGAGTTTGAAGTAAAAGAAAAAGTGTCACTTGTCGTAAGAAAAATTTCTTTACCGTGGAGACTTAGGCCATCATAAACATAATTAATTGAAGGTCAATACTCGAAAAAGATTCAAGAAATTTAAAAATCTTTACAATTTATCAAAACCTTAATATTAATTTCGTTCTTTGTTGAAGTTTAGTGAAAGAAAAGTAATCTCTAAGACGGTTATCTTTTCTCTTATATAAAATGGCTATAACTCAATTTGTATTGTTCGTTTTCAAGCAGACGAAGTAATTTAATAAAAAATGATTTTATTGTCGGTTGTTGATAGAAGGAAGCAGTTAGATAAATATTTAGACGATATACACTTGGCGAGTGTTTCTTCCGAACATTGTCTCTTATTTACTTCAAATGTCAAGGCTAAAGATCTCAAGCAGAATGTGTCGAAAAATATTGATGAATTCAAAAGAATTCTTATTAGGGGAAGAAAGCAAGTTGTAAAGCACACGCTCTTCTGCCTCGTGTTTACTCTAAATACTGATCACCATGAGTACAATGGAAGATTTTTTTTGAGACTTCGTTCGATACACGAAAAATATTGAAACACATTTCAAGAGTCAATAGCACAATGTGAAGCGTTTCAAGTACTTGGTATGTACACGTTATGAATCAAAGCAAATATGTGACGATATGCAATTGAGTATCGAAAAAGGGAGGAATAAATCAAATTACAATACGTTTGCATGTTTGTTGTTATCTTTATGGAGAACGAGTTGTCTGGGTAGGAAAAAGGATGACTGAGGTCACTTCTTAATATGTTTCTATTTAGTTAATGAAACTAAACAACCCTGCTTGATAAACCTAATATTAGGAGTATCTTCGACTAGTTTAATCTTCATGTGGATAAGCATTTAATCACAAATTAAGTTGTTGATTGCCAATTACAATTAAATTTTTAACATTCTTTTTTAACATTCTTAAGAATCAAGAAATCTTTCAAATCTTCAACAAACAACTAAAATAGATTTCTTTGGAACTATAAATAGCAACAAGATATTTGATATCTTTTTAAATATCTACCTATAAGAAATAAATGATAATTGGCAATTTATTGTGATTCTAAATTCACTGAATGAAATGAAGTAAAGAATGAAATAACAAAAATTTACTGCGTAGTTATCTGCAAATTGATTTGAGTTGAATCTTGAAAGGAAGAATCAAGTTAAATTCGCTTGCTTTTAATTACTAAATAATGATGCACAAAGAATTTTGCTTTACTTTTTTGAATTTGTTTATTCGTTTTCATCTAGAAGCAGTTTAAAAAACAAAATTCTACGTGTTAGTGTTACGGAAATGATGCGCGTGACAAAGCAGCGGAAGTTCTCATTTTTCATTTATTGTTTGTGAACTTTTTTTGCGAAAAAAATGATAAAACAGCTTGATTCTGATTGCACTAAGTTATATTTACGTGATAACAAAAACGCTCGAGAGCTTTGAAACTTAAAGGAACCCAAAGCCAACAAATAATGTAATGAGAGACTTACCCGGCAATTTTTTCGTGCGAAATGACGCGTTTGTAATCATAGATTTGGACATGGTGACGACATTTGTTGCTGGTGTTAAAGCAACGGAAATTCCCATTGGTCCATCACTTGGTTGTCCTAATGAGAAAAACAAATTAATAATTTTATCTTTTTAACAGTTTCTTGATAATTTCAACTCACCAGATGGATTGGCTTGAAGAGAATTTTTGATGGCGTTAGTTACTAATATCACATCAGAGTAAAGTTCGTAACAGGCTCGATTATGGATGTCATCAACAGCTTGTATTGCAACAGATGCAATCTCATTAAACATTGCAAAATAAATTGCATGTAAAAGTTCGACAAGAAATTGCTGAGACATTGGAATACGAGGATTTTGTTTAATGACGCTCGATGAATTCGGTGTGGAAGTTGCAGATTGATTTGAAGGGTCATTTCCATAGGAAGCACGGTATGAATGTCCATGCTTAACGAAACCTTGTGTAACCAACTTTGAGCTGATCTTACACAAGTGGTAAAGGGATGACTTTTGGATCAAACTGAGTTGTTGATTAAAAATGAACATAAGTGCAGCCATCACTGTCAAACGATTCTGAGCTGTTATCTTATAGACTGGCTTCATTATTTTCCATGAAATTTCCTTATTGCTATTTTCCTCCCATCGTTTAAGATCACTAGGGTGAAGGTTTTTCTCTTCGTGATAGATTGAAGTTTGAGCAAGTACTGGCATACGATAGGAAACTGACTTAAGCATGCCTTTGTCACTACACACTTCAATATTGTAAGCGCAAAGAATCAATGTTTCAACACATCGTAGGTTTTGTTTCTCACCGATGGCAACAGCATTCAGGTACAGATATATAAGATTCGGAATAAATTGGAGAGTGAATAATTTCAATTCGTTCTCATTTGATCGATAGAAATTATAAAGTTGAATGCAAATCGGGTGAAGTAGCTGAAATGGAATGTTAAATTGTGTAATAATCAACTTTGAAAATGATTCATTGTTTTTATATTTATAAATAAAATAAAACCTTAATTACTGATTAAAGAAAAAAGACTTTAAACTCACTTCAGAATGTTTTGTTTTGTCATTCAAAATTGTTTGAATTGCTGTTGAGAGTTCGTGATTCTCAGCATGTAGTGCCGCAAATGTTCTGATTTCTTGTGGCTCCAATGAATTATATTCGGCCAACCAATCGCTAACTATTGCATCTGCCATATTTTTCAAATGATTTCTAATTTAAATAGTGACGAAATGATGATGTTTTGGTATTTTTCAGCAACTATGGTTGTTTCGCATTTTATTTGCCTGCAGAAATAATTTATTTGACATTAGAAACTTTGACCTTGTTAACCAAAGGACTTATGGTTTTAAAAGCCTTGGAACAACTATTAAAACAGAAGTTGCATAATTTCATTGCGAATTATACTTAATCACAATAAACACGCACTCCTAAAGGGATTCTAGTAAATTTACGAGTAACAAAATCAATAAAATTAAGTTTTCAATTTAAATCGCAACTTGAAAATTAACAATTATTGAACACATGCAATAAAGCAGTATATTTTAGAATAATCTTGAAATTGTCAATCTCTTCAAAAGTTTTCGTATTTAAATAAATGAAAATAGCTACCTAATAGTAAAAAATTACTTTTTTTTATTTTTATAGTACAGCAGAAATTATGTCTTCTCAGATAATTTTATCTCATTGGTATGTAGCTTGCGAAAATGTAAACAGAGAGAAATTTCTTCATAAAACTCTTTTTTATAACTTGATGTTTATTTATTATTACTGTTACTCACATTTAGAAATGAAAGAAATGAATTATTACGAAATATTGAATGTGACTAAAGAAGCAACGCAAGATGATATTAAAAGTTCATATCAAAAACTTATACTTCTTCACCATCCTGATAAAAACCAACAGAGTAGAGAAAAACATGAGTATTTTTTAAAAATAGATGAAGGTAGGTGATTGACAGTTCTTAATCGTGTTTAAAATTTCTAAAGATTATTCTTTTAGCATACAAAACCTTAAAAGATCCTGTAAAAAGAAAAGAATACGATAGCATCTTATTTGAAGCAGGAAAATCTCAAATCATTATCCACGATACTGTTGATAAAACAAATTTCATTTATGATGACGAGAATAATTTTTTTTATCATGTGTGTAAATGTGGTGGTTGGTACATATTAGACGAAGAATCCAGTGACGACGAATACGTGATTTGTTGCGATGAATGCTCTCTAGCTATAAGTGTCATTAATTGTACAAATTAGAAATAAAAATTAATTGAATTTATGAATATTGAGTCATAATTTACATATAAATTTGGGAATCACTCAAGTGGTCTTGTAGGAAAAATAACGGTAATTTATTATTTAAATAAAAAAAGTAAATTTTAGTCGAAATTGTGTCTCCTGAGTAAGATCAGCCATTACCCTCTGTTTTTAGGAAGAGGAAAGACAAACAAGTTTAGATCAAAATGTCTTTAATTACAAAACTCAATCGGCTCACAGCCCTTCGAAATATTGTTACACATACACAAAGGAATGTTCGCTTTATCTCAACATCACCCAAGAAAAGCGATACAGCCACAATTACCACAACAGAAAAATCAACGGAAACAATTTCAGCAAAAACTGAAAAAAGTAAAGATTGGGTTTATTGGGGATTCGAAGCAGAAAATAAAAAAGATGATGATGATACAATGCATGCAACATTCTTTTTCGGAATATCATTGTGCATAGTTGGAACTTCCTTCATTTTGTATTATCAACCAGATTTTCTTGGTCGTGATTGGACTCAACGAGAAGCTTACTTAGAACTACGTCGACGTGAAGCTGCTGGATTAGAACCAATATCTCGAGACTACATCGATCCTTCTCTTATGGAATTGCCATCAGACGAAGAACTTGGTGACACCGAAATCATTATTTAAATTAAAATCAGTGAATAGTTTCTGTTCTTCTCGTCTAAGTTGCATAACAGTTTTGTGTGAAACGAGAATCGATAAAAACAAACAAAAAATAAATAAAATATGAAACAATTAAAATAAATCCAAGTGAAATTAAACGTTTATTCTTGCTTAGATATGATTTTATTAAAGGACTTGCTCTAAAGAATATTTAATAAGAAATTTTTAAATTTTACGAAAGTCCGAAGATTTTTAAACAATTTCTGTTTCTCTTTAAAGAAATTAGTAGATGATGGGATAGGAAAAAAAGATTGAAACTTAAGAATACTTAGTTGGATCAATGCGCGGTGTGTTGACCGTAAGAGGAGGCAAACCTTGTAAATTTATTTGAGTTTGAACTTGTGGATACGCGTCAAATGTTTGTATTTGTGGCGGCATTGTAGACACATTAAATTGTGAACTTGCTGGTTGAAATTGTTGATAATTTTGATTACTATTGGAATCAGAAACATTGAAATTTGTTGTCATTGGAGTTGGAGCAAATGCTTGTTGAAGTGCATCTGCTTGTGGCTGAGATGGTATTGAAGCTGAAGGATAATTTCCAGGCTGTAGCATTGGTTGATTGAATTGACTCATGTTATACATCGGGACGTTATAAGCAGGAGTCGCAGCTGTTGATGATGTTGCTGAAATGGAAACATTAAAAAAAGTTCTTAACAAAAAAACCTAAAAATTACTTTCAGATTGCACAAATTGTTGGTTGACAGCAGTTGGTGGAGTAACAGTTTGACTTTGATAGATTGCTGGGATGCTTGATGGTGGTTGAATGACATTTTGCTCATTTTTGATCAGCTCATTAGAAGCATTTGGTGGCGAAATGAAAAGCTGACTTGCTGCATTTGCTGCCAAAGTATTATCAATTGCACTTGTCTTTGTTTCGATTGGTAAACTCGTAGCACTTGAAGTGACAACCGTTGGTGCAGTTGAACTAAGAGTTGTTGGTGTCGGATTGTTGTTTATCAAATTTTCAACAAGAGCTGAAGTTACGCTTGGTTGAAATGCAGTCGAGAATGTGTTAGCAAGTGGCGGAACCATTGGAATAAATGGTATTGGTTGTGGAGGATTTATTGTTTGTGGAGCCATTGTTGGTACACTTGTTGTCGTGACGGGGAACGATGTTGTTGTCGTTTGATTTTCTAATAAAGGCGCTGATTGATTCTAAAGTGATTTATCAAAACAAAAAATCAATTTCAGAAATTTATGAAGAAAATTTAACTTACATAAGCAGCATTCGTGATTCTTACTGGAATCCTATGTAAATAGCCAAATCCAATACCCGCACCTAAGCTCCCTTCTCCTCCCCATTTCGAGTTAGGAGTGATGATGACTTCTCTACATTGGTCTTCATCACAATTGTAAACATAAAGTTTGAGTTGCTTTCCTTCGTGTGTTTCTATCAACGTAAACAAGTCTTCACTTTCATGAAGAATCGAATCAGCTCCAATGATGTAATCACTGAATGATCTCAAACCAGCAGCTTCTGCCGGTGAAGATGGATGAACTTCAAGAATGTGCCAAACATTTTCATTTGCTCCTTCAAAACTACAGAAACGAATTGAAACTCCCAACAATCCTTGTCCTCCCCATGTTTCGGATGGTGTAATATTAACAACACGAACATTTTGAGTTTTACTGCTGTAAACTATAGCAAAGTAAAAATATTTGTTAGACTTATTGATAAGATAAAAACAAAACATTTTAATTGATTTCATTTACCAGTCACTCGAATTTCCTTCTCCTTGTTAGTTTTAAGAAGCTCCTTTAAGGTATCATTGTCCTGATCAAGTCTTGTAGTCCCAATGGCAACGATAAAATCAAAGAAAGCTTCTAAACCAGCTTTAGAACCCGGCGAATTATTTTGAACCTTTAAGAAATATTTGAGAAGAAAACAAGTGATGATGTGGACAAAAAGCAGAAAATAGAAGAATCTTCCTATTTATCAACTTACTCTCAAAACATGATAGCCTTCAGTACCACCGCCAGGAATTTCTACACTATGTGACGAACCCATAACTTTAAAAATGCTATAAAACACTAAATTATATATTTTTTTATGATTCACAAAATATTTCCAAATATTTCTCTTAGAGACTTTAAGTCATCACAGAATTTGTCTCCTCGGCAGATATTTGAAAATAACGAATTTTTATAAGAAATAATCTTTAAGATTAATCAACGTATTCTATATAAAATATTAGCTAAAGAAATATGAATGAAGAAAACTTTAAACTTGATATTCATGATTTTTCATAACTTTATTTACAATTTCCTCTAGTTTTTCTTCTAAGAGTTACACTACATAATGACAATAATAGACAACAAATTCCCATTTTATTTTACGAGGAATTGATTGCAGACAAAAAGTCATCAATGTTCCTTTACGGTTAAATAATTTAATTTAATACTGTAACTTTGCTATATTTCATAAAGTTTTTTTTCAAAGTTGTTAAATCAAATAGCAAACGGAATGGCGAAAGGATCATCATTTATGGACAAGAATTATTTACGATTTGAATTGAAGACATCAATAAAAACATTAAAAGATTAATAACTAATTCAAAACGTAGCTTAATCTTCAAGATTTCGGAAAGCTTGTTGCAATTCTTCGTGAAGTTGATCAAAGTCTGATTTAATTTTAGCTTCGCCATCCTTGACTGGATCTTTGAATTTCATTGATGACAATTGGTAAAGCATGTTGCCCATTGAATCACGGATGACATTCCATGTGATTTTGTTCTCTGATTGTGCTGTTGATTCAACAGCATGACGAGCCATATCGTAAAATGCGATGATGTTACGGAGCATTCCTACGGTCTTGTAGAAGGGACAGAAACGATCGTATGACGAATAAGAGTTCTGTTGCAAGAAATCATCTTTCAAGAGCTTCGCAACTTCCAATGTGATTTTATCTGTTTCAGCCAATGAAGCTTTACCAACGAGTTGCACGATTTCCGACAAATCTTCTTCTTCTTGCAAGATTTCCTTGACCTTAGTTCGGAGTGGAACGAATTCGGGGAAGTTTTTGTCATAGAAGTCATCTAAAGCTCGCATATATTTACTGATTGTGCGTTGTTTGTATGAAAGGAAAAAGAAAATTTAGAAAATATATTCAATAAATCAGTTTAATGATCTCTCACCTGTACGAAATCAACCAATTGATAGATGGGAAATGTTTTCTTTGAGCCAACTTCTTATCCAATCCCCAGAACACTTGCACAATACCCAAAGTAGCTGATGTGACGGGATCAGAGAAATCACCACCGGGTGGTGACACAGCACCAACAATTGAGACGGAGCCTTCACGTTCTGGATTACCTAAGCATTTAACACGACCAGCACGTTCGTAGAAGGAAGCGAGACGAGCGCCAAGATAAGCTGGATAACCGGAATCAGCAGGCATCTCAGCAAGACGACCTGAAATTTCACGAAGAGCCTCAGCCCAACGAGAAGTTGAATCAGCCATCATAGACACATTGTAGCCCATGTCACGGAAGTATTCAGACAAAGTGATGCCAGTATAAATGGAAGCTTCACGAGCAGCGACAGGCATGTTGGATGTGTTGGCTACGAGCGCTGTACGCTTCATGATGGACTCAGTAACGCCGTCAATTTCAACTGAAAGTTCGGGGAAGTCACGCAATACTTCTGACATCTCATTACCACGTTCTCCACATCCAACGTAGACGATGACATCAGAGTTGGAATATTTTGAAAGAGCTTGAGAAATGACAGTCTTTCCACAACCGAAAGCTCCGGGAATGGCAGTTGTGCCGCCTTGAACGCAAGGGAACAAAGAATCCAATACACGTTGACCAGTCAACAATGGATGGTTGGCAGGTAACTTCTCAGTGCAGGGACGTGGTTGACGTACGGGCCACACTTGCAACATCGTGTATTTGTTGACTTCGCCATCGAACTCTGTTTCCAGGATGACATCTTCAACTGTGTAGTTGCCAGGTGGAGCGATGTAACGAATTGTTCCTTTAGCGCGTGGTGGAACCAACAGCTTGTGCTTCACCAAAGTATTTTCATGGACAACTCCATACAAGTCACCTCCAGTGATGTGCGATCCAACCTTGACATTCAATGGGTTGAAGTCCCATGCAGTTGTTTTGGAAAGAGCAGGAATGTTGACACCTTTCGGGATGTAAATCGACTGTGTAAGTTCATTGATGTCTTTCAATGGACGTTGAATTCCATCAAAAATACTTCCCATGATACCTGCAAAATATTTCTTCATTAATAACTTTTTTTATTTGTTTAAACATTCATCATTACCTGGACCTAACTCTACTGATAATGGTTTTCCTGTTCTCAACACGGGATCACCAACAGTGACACCTGAAGTTTCCTCGTATACCTGAATGGTCGCCATGTCACCTTCCAGACGAATAATTTCACCAACCAATTCATAATAACCGACACGGACCAACTCGTACATAGCAGATCCAGCCATTCTTTCAGCTGTCACCACTATAAAGAGGATTTTATTTAATTTAACTCAATTTTGAAGTTTACAACTGCATTTAGTCACTTACCAGGTCCTGACACAGCAAACACATATCCAAATTTGGATTCACGTTCTTCATTTCCTATCTTCTTTAAGTTGGACATCTTAACAAGTTGATTCTATCAGCCGTTTCGAATTCTGTAAAATTTTTAAGAAATAAAAATTATTTGAATGAAGTTTTTAATGTTTATTTTTCACCTGGATCCGAAAACTCTTTAATTCTTAGTTGGAATGTTACTTAAAGGAGTGAATTCTTACTTTTTCTGGTATTTTCAGGAAACTTCAATGGTTTTCTGACAAAATCTAAATAAGTTTTCTGGCTTTTCACTGACCGAAAAAAATATTGATCATGTGATGCGAGACTGCTGAGTGAGTAAAAAGTTTTTCTCTCGTGACTTTCCGAGGAGACATAAACTGTTGGTCGTCTGGTGGTTGTATGTCGATTTGTGACTCTCTTGACAATCATAACAAATATTTTCTCCAAGTAAGTAGATCAGACGTGAAATATAAATTATTTTAATAAATAATAGCAATCTCCTAAATTACTAATAACTCAAGATTATCCTAGTAAAGGACTTTTGGTTTATTACAAAGTATAAATAATTCAATTAATTATTGAATATTTGATTATTTCAATAATTTTAGAAAAAAGTGATAAGAAAAAAATTATTTCAAGTAAAATCCTGACGAAACACCATAAAATATCTATGGAGGTCCTTATGCTATTTTAGCCATTTTAAATATCTTCAAAAAGGAGTTTCCTTCCATTAGAACCTTTAAAATCATTTTCGTTCAATTCTTTCACATATCAAGAATTTTTTTCTTTGGTCACATGATCAATGCGAAGAAAAATTTTAAAATTTTCCAAACGAAACTTATAAGAATATTGGAATAGAGTCTAATAAGAATGTCCATTTCTTATTTTGTTCTAGTTTAAATATTTAAGGACATTAAAGAGAACTTGATAAGATGTCCAACTTAAAGAAGATAGGAAATGAAGAACGTGAATCCAAATTTGGATATGTGTTTGCTGTGTCAGGACCTGGTAAGTGAATAATTCAATTGTAAACTTTACTTTAAAATTAAATAAAATAAAATCCTCTTTATAGTGGTGACAGCTGAAAGAATGGCTGGATCTGCTATGTACGAGTTGGTCCGTGTCGGTTATTATGAATTGGTTGGTGAAATTATTCGTCTGGAAGGTGACATGGCGACCATTCAGGTATACGAGGAAACTTCAGGTGTCACTGTTGGTGATCCCGTGTTGAGAACAGGAAAACCATTATCAGTAGAGTTAGGTCCAGGTAATGATGAATGTTTAAACAAATAAAAAAAGTTATTAATGAAGAAATATTTTGCAGGTATCATGGGAAGTATTTTTGATGGAATTCAACGTCCATTGAAAGACATCAATGAACTTACACAGTCGATTTACATCCCGAAAGGTGTCAACATTCCTGCTCTTTCCAAAACAACTGCATGGGACTTCAACCCATTGAATGTCAAGGTTGGATCGCATATCACTGGAGGTGACTTGTATGGAGTTGTCCATGAAAATACTTTGGTGAAGCACAAGCTGTTGGTTCCACCACGCGCTAAAGGAACAATTCGTTACATCGCTCCACCTGGCAACTACACAGTTGAAGATGTCATCCTGGAAACAGAGTTCGATGGCGAAGTCAACAAATACACGATGTTGCAAGTGTGGCCCGTACGTCAACCACGTCCCTGCACTGAGAAGTTACCTGCCAACCATCCATTGTTGACTGGTCAACGTGTATTGGATTCTTTGTTCCCTTGCGTTCAAGGCGGCACAACTGCCATTCCCGGAGCTTTCGGTTGTGGAAAGACTGTCATTTCTCAAGCTCTTTCAAAATATTCCAACTCTGATGTCATCGTCTACGTTGGATGTGGAGAGCGTGGTAATGAGATGTCAGAAGTATTGCGTGACTTCCCCGAACTTTCAGTTGAAATTGACGGCGTTACTGAGTCCATCATGAAGCGTACAGCGCTCGTAGCCAACACATCCAACATGCCTGTCGCTGCTCGTGAAGCTTCCATTTATACTGGCATCACTTTGTCTGAATACTTCCGTGACATGGGCTACAATGTGTCTATGATGGCTGATTCAACTTCTCGTTGGGCTGAGGCTCTTCGTGAAATTTCAGGTCGTCTTGCTGAGATGCCTGCTGATTCCGGTTATCCAGCTTATCTTGGCGCTCGTCTCGCTTCCTTCTACGAACGTGCTGGTCGTGTTAAATGCTTAGGTAATCCAGAACGTGAAGGCTCCGTCTCAATTGTTGGTGCTGTGTCACCACCCGGTGGTGATTTCTCTGATCCCGTCACATCAGCTACTTTGGGTATTGTGCAAGTGTTCTGGGGATTGGATAAGAAGTTGGCTCAAAGAAAACATTTCCCATCTATCAATTGGTTGATTTCATACAGGTGAGATTTGATTAAACTGATTTATTGAATATATTTTCTAAATTTTCTTTTTCCTTTCATACAAACAACGCACAATCAGTAAATATATGCGAGCTTTAGATGACTTCTATGACAAAAACTTCCCCGAATTCGTTCCACTCCGAACTAAGGTCAAGGAAATCTTGCAAGAAGAAGAAGATTTGTCGGAAATCGTGCAACTCGTTGGTAAAGCTTCATTGGCTGAAACAGATAAAATCACATTGGAAGTTGCGAAGCTCTTGAAAGATGATTTCTTGCAACAGAACTCTTATTCGTCATACGATCGTTTCTGTCCCTTCTACAAGACCGTAGGAATGCTCCGTAACATCATCGCATTCTACGATATGGCTCGTCATGCTGTTGAATCAACAGCACAATCAGAGAACAAAATCACATGGAATGTCATCCGTGATTCAATGGGCAACATGCTTTACCAATTGTCATCAATGAAATTCAAAGATCCAGTCAAGGATGGCGAAGCTAAAATTAAATCAGATTTTGATCAACTTCACGAAGAATTGCAACAAGCTTTCCGAAATCTTGAAGATTAAACTTCATTTGAACTGTAAATTGAAGAATTATATTTATGAAATGTTTGAAATTTCAATCTGTTCTCTAACGTGAAAAGAACTTTTAAAAACATTTCTTCTTATAAGTTCTAATCGAAATCGATTCATTCATTTGCTTTGATATTTAATTTAAATCATATTAGCGAGAATTTTCAAATTTTATTTGTTTTAAAAGACAACAAAATACGTCAAAAAATGAAAGAAAATACGTTATCTTAATACATCATATAAATATCTTGATAAATATGTAATCCATGTATTGATATATATTTAAGTCATTCCAATATATTGTTGACTATATTTCCAATTGGATATGCAGTTAAATGTTAAAATGAAATTTTTGTGTCTAACATTTTATTTATGCTCAAACCATGTTTGTCAGATGACAATAAGTGAACATAAAAAATGCAATTCATTCATCAATAATTCGAAACATTTTGCAATTTTATTATTTCGTTTGTTTTATTGAAGGCTTTTCATTGTTACTAATTTATAATTAAAGCATGAAAGTTGTAAATATTTCGATGTTCATTATTTCATGCTTAAAGTGTATTCAGTAAAAAAAAGTTAAGGATAAATCCTTTATCAATTTCCCCCGCATAATGCGCACCAATATTAAGATAGTTCCATGCCCCGCTTTGCAGTGGGTGAGTTTGGCAAGAGTGCCACACAAGAAAATATTTGACACCATCATACATCAACATATTTTTTCAGACGAAACATGTTCATTGTACCTTTGTTTTGAAAGTGAAGGAGTGTAAAAACAGAGTTTAAGATCAAGAAAGTATCTGAATAGAGCCATAGAAATGGCTAATCAAAATGAGAAAATCCTCATGAGTTTGTTATCAATCGTGGAAAACGATAAATGTTGCGATTGTGGTAGCAGAGGTATGATGATAAATATTTATTGTTATGCTTTTCAAATTTATTGCGTTTTATGAAAAACCAATTTCTCATGCTTATTTATTCATTGTGCTTATGTGTGTCAATTATCTATCATTCGAATATGATTCATTAATACATTTGAATAAATTCACAAGCATAGAATTTTGATTATTCATAAATAATCTTATTTATTTTTTCTCCTGTAATGTGACTGACATATTTTCCCTCCAACTGCGTTCACTAAAATAAATCAATTTTCTTTAAGATGTTGAATATGCATCATACAATCTCGGAATATTTTTATGCTGCGTTTGTTCACAAATTCATCGAAGTCTCGGAAGTCATTTGTCAAAAATCAAACATTTATCGTTAGATTATTGGGAAGACTCACAAATCAGACAGTTGATGGATATAGGAAATAAAAAGGCCAAACTTGAATATGAGAAAAGAATTCCAGCATGCTACAGAGTCCCGAAAGCGGGTGAACAACATTTACAGACGCTTTTGGAACAATTCATAAGATCAAAATATGAACGAAGAGAATTTGCAAATCCAAGACAAATGCCAAGTTTTACTCTCGGTAAGATGGAAAATTATCTGATGAAAAAAGGAAAAGAAGATAACAAATATCATCCGAGAAAGTTTGTCTTAAACGAAACAGACGACACACTTCGGTATTACGTCAAAGAAGAAAAAAGTCCAAAAGCAATCCTAAGAATATCTGAATTAAATGTAGTATTTGCACGACAATTTAAATCTGACATGGTGCACAAAAATTGCTTACAAATAACTTATCTCAGCCCAGCAAATTCGACTCGTCACATTTTTGTTTATCATGAAGATGCAGAAATCATCATTAATTGGTATCAAGCAATTCGATGTGCAAAACTGCATTACTTTCAAGTTGCATATCCAAGTGCAAACGAATCAGATCTTTTACCTTTGCTTACAAAAGATTTTGCACGTGAAGGATATTTAATGAAAACTGGCCCTCGACCCACCGATGCGTATCGTCGACGATGGTGCACACTTGATCGACGAAAGCTTATGTATCACAACGACATTCTTGATGGTTTTCCAAAAGGCGAAATATTTATTGGTCACAGTTTGGATGGATATTGTATTCGAGTAGGAGTGGCAAATGATTTCAAGGATCAAGGATTTAGTTTCAGCTTATTTACCCCAGAAAGAATTTACAATTTCTCATCATCAACATCACAAGATCGTGATGAATGGATGAACGCCATTCAAAAAATCATTGATAAGCCTCTTACACCAGCTGATATATCACTCTGTGCTCGCCTGGAGAGAAAAAGAAATGTCACAATGAACTTTCTATCAGGGAGATAACAGCAGCAATCATAGATAATATAAAACAATCTCATAAACTAAATTTCTTGCATTGCATTTTCAATATAGCTCAATACTAAAGTTTGGTTTTATATATAAATATTAATGAAAAGAAAATGAAAGAAAAAAGAAGAATTGAATGAAACGTCTGCAATATATTTGATGATAGACGCAATTTAATGAGAAACATATCAGTGTGTTGAACAGAGAGCGATTCGCTTTAGTTAAATTAATATAACTATCTACATAAGTAAGTAGAAATATTCTAACAATGCAAAAATCGAACCTTCGTAGACATCCAAATCACTGCCGATAGAAGAAGGAAGGAAGATTAAAGTAAGAAATTTTACCAAAATAGTTTGAATCTAAAATAAGCTTAGCGGAAAATTTTATTGGTATTCTAAAGTAATAACTTAGCATTGAAATCTTTTGTGTGTTTTAAAACGACGAAGATCTTATATATCTACTATTTAGATTAATTCTATAGACTGTGTAATGGAACTTATCACAATATCTTTTAATCAGGGAAGAAAAATAAATTGCTCGAAAATAATATAAAGCTAAAATAATTTGAGATCATAAATCGATACATTACGAGAGTGATCTTGAACGAAAAGCAAAGCGCAGGTATCTAATTGACATTCATTAATTGAAGTTATAAAAGTTATATTTTTCGAGCATCGCATGCTTTTAATTCAAACGTTAACTAATATTCCCAGAAGTATTCTTGAGGTTTTATTTAGCTGATATAATTGGAATTTTGAGCGTCAATAATCTATTTAAAAATACCCTTGCATCACCTTGAAAGAACTCATAAAACATAGCAAACTTTATTCTCCATCTCACATTCAATAAAATTGGGTTTAGCCCAACAAAATGAATTTAAAATCTTTAATTTACATCTTATTGTAAATGGTGTGCGTTTAACTGAAAAGCAAAAAAAAAAATATAATAAAAGGAAATATTTTTCATGAAAAAGAAAGAGAAATTTTATATGAATCTTTTATTGTAATTTTATCATTATCAAAACATTAAAGGTACAATTTTACAATCGAAAAGCTTTTAGAAATTAATTTTTTCTTTTATCTTTTCACATAATTTTCTTGAACTATTTCGTTTTGGAAATTTAGGTTTTCATCTTACAGCCAACTCTTGATATTAAATGTTTGAAGGGACAGGAAACTTACATCTTAGAGCGAGTGAAATTTCTTATCAAGAGCCGAATGCCTTATTCTAAAAAAAAGTTATAGTGCAGAAATCATTATTGCTAATTTATCCATAAAAACTCTTTTTATATCATTTCATGCTTCATAACTTAATAATAACTCTTTGAAAATGCCTTAATATTAAACCTGGAATTCCTTTCTAAAACTAAACATTTATTTATGATTCACATCGCTTAAGCGTTTTGATCCGAATCCAAATCATTGACTTCAAGAACGCATTCAAGGATTTTCCGTTTAAGCTTCTTTTGTAAATTTTGACTTTGAAGGCTTCGCATTTCATTTGCAACGAACATCCCAAACACATCAAAGTTATCAAACTTTTTGACTTCATCTGGTCTTGTGACTGATCCGAAAGTCTCATCAGCTTCGTTAATATTTTTTATCTCATGATCTTGAGATTTATCATCAATAATGATTGTTGGTGCTGGTTTTGGCGTTGAAGTCGTTGGTTGAACGTATTGTTTTAGCATATGATGCTGTGCAATTTCATTTCCATCTTTCGTCATCAATCGACGTTTCCGTGCACTTTGAAGAACTTCGGTCTTTATTTGTTTTGGTTTCGGTTCTTCATACTCAACAGAAACATGAAAAATCTGCTGCGGTTGTGCATTGCCATTCGCTGTCACTATTGTTGTATCATTATTATTGTTGATGTTATTTACTTTTTCTGATGAATTCTCGTTTTCTTCTTCATATTTTTCCTGAAAACAAAAACAGATATTGAAGAACAAATATTATTATTTTATTTGTACATGCAAGTTTTAATAAAATTAACACATGGATGTGCTTTGTCTTGTTATGAAATATTTTTCACATCTTTTTTTGAGGAATATAAATGCTCAATTATTTTAACTAAAATAATATCAAGGGAACTACAATGAAAATAGTAAAAAGCATATTTAAACGGCTTCATATTAAACTCGTACCGTACCGTTAATTACAAATGTATTTACGAAAATACTTTACTAAATGTGTATATGTATGCAGGTATTATGTTTCGGAATATTCTCTGTAATTCTATTATTCCGTGTATCATCATACATATATTAAATTTTCCCCCACTCAGCAGCACGAAAGAAAAACGTTTGTCTGGTTAAAGAACTTGAATGTGATTATACATCAAAGCAAAAAAGGGAAAATAAGGGAGAGATGAGAGAAATGAAAGCAAGCGTATCGTCGATCGACATAAATATGAAATAAAGAAACGGAAGAGAACAGAATAATAATATTGAATGTAAAATGTACATTGTAGTGTCGAGTTTCGACGTAGATCAAATTCCAATATGTGGAGCTTATTTTATAATGCTATTAGTGTCGCGACAGTCGTTACTTTTCACTTAGCATCGAACAAACTATTCAAATTGTATTTTAATGGGATTTGTTTCATTCCATAAGTTAAGAATCGTTTTACACTAGATATGTAATTTGTACTCACCACAGTATATTCGTTAGTGTCAGCATATTCGCCGGTGCTATTGGTTTGAGATGTATTGCTACCACGTACTGACACTACATTTTCTAAGAAGCTTAAGTTGCCAAAGTAAGGCCACTTCGTTTTGTATTGTGGTTTTCCTGGTATCTTTTTCTTAGTTTTATTCAGCTCAAAACGGTACTGGTTACGAAGATTGTGAATTTTCTTGTTTATTTCTTCGATAGAGATTTTCATCTCATCTGAAATGCTTTGAATCGATGATATTCTTTCATCACGATCCTTGTATTCACGAAGATTTTTATTCCATAAACATTCATTGATTTCATAAAGAGTTATGAGATCTTTCGTCTCCTGACGTGTCCAATTGTATTTTGACATGTTTTATTTTTCCACACTTAGCAATAGGAACAAAGTTTGAAAAAGTTTATAATCAAACCACTGCACTGATATTCTTACAAACGATGAACAAAATGTATAAGACACAAATCTATAGAAGAACAGAGAAAAATAAAAAAATCAACACAACAACTAAACACAAAAAGTTATTTCTTGGTTATTTCAAACTGCATGTCGAGTCTGTTTGAAAGTTGAGTCGTGAATGAATATTGTTCGAAGGCACGAAGAGAGATGTTTGCTATAGAAAACTAACACAAAAGCAAGGCTCATGAGAGTTCTTTTGTAAACACATTTGGTTATTAAACTATGTTAAAAAAATACTTGTAGATGTTGAATTGATAAGCATTTTGATCTGATAATTTAAGTTTATCATAATATCAAATAAATGAAATGGAAAATCACTTGGATGAAAAGAAAAGTTTGATGAATTTTATTTTCCACCACCTCTCACGACATAAGAAACGAAAATCTCTCTCGGAAAGCATTTTCTCTCATCAGAAAAGTCGTAAAAGTTGTGTAAAATACATAACACAAAAAAATTGAACAAGATATAGCGTTTGCTATGCTTCACAGTATTTTATCTTATATGAGTTTTTATTATTTGCTAATGTCTGTCGAACGAAACTTTATATTTAATATGAGCTCGATATTTGAACAACTTTGTTTGGAATGATGATCAACAAAGAAAAATATGTTTATTTTGTATTCAACAGAGATGCCGATTATCATCATCTGTGTCTACTAACTAAATGCGTCGAATATATGACAACTTTGAAACTCATTCTTTGAGATAAATCGTGAACAAAGATTTTCTTTCAATTTTTTATTGTTCTTGTCTCAACAGCACTTTTGTTGACAAAAAGATTCATAAGTATCAATTTATTTGAAATATTATATCATCTTTCAAATAATATTCACAATACTTACATGAATTTTATGCTGACTTTTCAGATCTTCAATCTTGAATTTTTTGATTTGTATACCCGAAAATATTTAACGAACAAAAATAAGTCTGAGATAAGAGAATAAACAAATAGTTTTGTTACCTAATTTTATATCTTTAATAAGCGGATGTTATGCTAGCTCTAGATTCTAAAACTTTTCAACTATCAGAATCAATTTTCTGTTCTACAATATTCTCAAGTTTCGTTCCCGTTCTTTTGAAATGTTAAATTTCAAGCTTGTTTTCAACTTCAATGCTAATAAGCAACAACAGTGAACGCGATATTGCTTACAAAATATATTCCACCTCGAAAGTGGGAATAAAGAACGAGTCTTCATGTATTATTCTCTCTCGCACACGAATAAAAATCCATTATACATTTCAACTGCATGAGAGTTTTACTATTACAACACTTCTCTCTTTACTTCGACTACCTAGCAATGGACTTCAATCCATAAATTGAATATATTTTTGTCTCGTATCAACATTGAAATTGAAAATTGAAAATATTTATTCCAACATAAATGGAAACGTTTCTCTCCTTTCTACTTATGGTTGAGTTTCTTCGATCACGATCATCAAACACGAAAATATTTGTATTAATAGAATATGATGATGGGGGTTGTTTCGTTGTTTGAATGAAAAATATCTCCGTTGAATATATTTATCTCAAACATCCTGTGTCGTTTATAGATATCACTTCTTTCAAAACAAGGCTACAAATTTGTTATCAAAATTTTGTTTTCTCAGAAATGTCTGATAGTGTGAGTTTGCCTTTCAATGCTTTGAAAATTTAAACTCACATGACTCATAAACCAGCGCGAGTTAGAGTGCGCTAAATGTATCCAACTTTTCTGTTTCAATTCCATTTTTCTCAAATGTTAATCTTTGTTTTCTTATTTTTCATGTTCATACTTGAACTCAAGCGTAAAGCATTGAAAATCTACAAACCTTAAATTATGATTTAAAATCAGCAAATTAATGAGAATATAAAAAAGAGAAACCAGTAGATATTATCATCAACAGTCTCAAACTTTTATATAGCTTGTCTAACTTATTTATTAAAGAAAAAATATTAACGAGTTTATCTATGTTGATATAATGTTTTAGCAGGTTTCATTGAACAGATATAAAAAAGTTGTTGGAATAATATGAAAAGATAATATTGTCTACACTAATACATTTCTCAAAGTAGCGAGATAATACGTAGAACAATAATAAAAAGCAGGTGTTACGAGTGGCTGGGAATGCACATATTCAGAGCCCTCATTTAAATTATTTAGACATTTCATTCCCATATTGCTACCTGAGAGAATTTTATCAGAAAATAGCTTCAAACCCTGAATTCTTATGAATCCGAAAATATTTCTTTTCGTCCATTCAAATAAACAATGATTTCTGTTTACGAGATATTTACATACATAAATAGTTTTCAGATAAACAATGAAATAAACATTTGACATTGTCATTAATAATAAATGTATAAAAATTTAATGAATCGAAGGATTAAATTGCTGAGCATGATTGTTGCAAACTGAAATGATCAAGACAATTAATGTGATCATAAATAATCACATTTATAAGTTATCTATTGAAGTGGGCACTTATAATTAATATATAATTAATAAGTAGGTAAGGTACTCATAAGCATTAAAGTTCGCAACTTTTTAATTTTTCTTCTCTTCGAAACTAAATACAAAGCCGTTGATCATTCGTTCTTTTCATAGATTTTTTTTATTGGTTTTTGCTTGAAATAATTACACAGTACATAACTGTAGTGATGTATGTAGTTGTTTAATGTTCTAATGAAAGAAAACATAGATAAAAAAGGGGAACTTTGCGTATTTTTCTGACATCTCTTCATATCGCACATACAGGGAATTTAAAATGCATAAAAACTGAAAACAATTTCAACTTGCAGATAACTAAAAATAAATAAACAACATAATATAAAACTTCAGAGAAGTCTGTCAGTTATTACTTTACATCATACAAAGAGTTTTCTTGAATATTTATTTTTGCTAGCATTTTAAAATTACTTGGAATGCATGGCAATTCAGATGATATTTGGCTTAGATAACTTTCAATATTTAAAACGAAAATAAAATTTATGTTTGTGAAATTTGATTTATTTCATAACTCAAATAGATATTTGACAAAACTAAAGAGATAAATCGCAATGGCAAGATTTGCATCATTGATGAGTTCTAATTGCCTGATTTCTTCTTCAATTCACTTAAGTTTGTAAGACACGAGTCACGCCATGCACGGCGTTTTTCTAAATCTTCAAGTGGACACATTTCTTCTAATTGTTTAACAATCTTCTCCATAGCAGGACCTTCCATTCTTGGTGTTGGTCCCATAGTTTGGCTTACTTCATAAATGGAGTTTGAATAACGTTCACAATATGAACGGAAACCTGATAAATATTTATGCGAAGATTTCACAAGTTACAAAATTTCACTCGATATCTAAGAATTTAAATTTGTTTACCTTCCGCATTTAAATGTGCTGTTTCCAGTGGGCCTAAGAATGCATATCTCATTCCTAAACCATCCTTCATTACCACGTCTATATCAGCAACGCTTAAAATATCGTCAGAAATTAAACGCCAACATTCATTGAGTATTGCATATTGAATGCGATTCAAAACGAAACCCTCGATTTGACGTGACAACAAAACGGGTTTCTGGCCAGCCAGAGACATTCTTAATAGAAAATGCAATTAAAAAATCTTCCACATTCAAAAATGTTTACATACAAAGCTCTTGTTCGAACGGCAATTTCTGGTTTCGTCCATGGAGATGGAACAATTTCTACTAAAGGCGCGTAGTAGGGTGGATTGACGGGATGTGACACCAAAACTTGATCACGATGCTTCATATTTTCTGAAAACAGTGATGGCATGAATGTAGAAGTTGACGAAGATAAGATAATGTTATCGTCAATAATCTCATCTAGTTGCTTATAAAGTTTTTTCTTCATCTCCAAATTTTCTGGTACACATTCTTGTAAAAAGAATGCACCAGTCACTGCTTGCTTCAAGTCTGAACATCCTATTAGGGGAATAATGAAATTTTGATTAAACTGAAGTCTCTGAATGCTATTATTTAATTTAGATCTATTTAGATTGTTACAGATATTTCTCTTACCCTTAATGCAACTAATTTGTTCATCGGCAGTTAGTTTTCCTCGAAGAAGTCCATCTTTTTCCAATTTCTTTAGCTGAAGCCTTGCTTGCTTCAAAGCATTCTCAACTTGTGACTCCACGATATCATAAATGGCTACAGAATATCCAACCGATGCAAAAATCATTGCCCATGACTGACCGATTAATCCACTAGCAACATAGAAGTTAAAATGAAATCAACAGCTTTTATTTTAAAATCTCTCAATGTTTGTCTCATTGATTTATGCGCAAGCGCGAGCAAGGAACTCTCTGGCATACTTTCTCTCTCATTTAAAAAAAATATTTAATTTCTAGTCTGATCAAGTAAAATATTTACGATACAAGTCAGAAGAGATTATCGAGAACATGAATTATGTCAATAATTGGAACAACTTCTATGATAATGCACTTTATTTACAGAAAAGTCTTGAAATTTGGAGTTTTTAATGCTATCTTACCTTCCAATGATAACAATTTTCTGATTCTTTACTGATGATGAAGCCATTGCGATTCTAATTGAATAAATATTAAATAAATGTAGTTAATCGTGTTTCTCTTTCAATATTTTAACTCTGAATTGACTGTTTTCTTTAAACTGATAATAAATCACCTCTCTCTTGCTAAATACACGAAGAACAACGAATAACGATGTTTAGTCGGTGACAATTTACATTAAACTGAAGAGATGAAATAGAATGATGAACATTTAAAGCACCTGATAATGCTGAGTTTGTAAATCTGAACAAACTGAGTTGCATGTGTTGGTATAAAAAAAATAGAAATGATAAGTTTGCTGATAACTCTTCAAGTGTCGTATTAATCTGAAAGAACTTAATTGGAACATAATTGTAGTGAATGGTTCACTGCCATCATGACGAATTCTGAAAGGAATGTTGATACTACTTAAGTAAGGAAAAGTGGAATATTATGTAAATTTTTCCTCGTATTTATTATACTTTAGAAAACATTTTAAGAAGAAAATCGAGCTGAACTTTCGCTTTCTTGTTTAGATGACCGACATCTAGTTGCGGCGACTGATAGTTTGGCCAGTTGGCTGAGTCAATTGAAGCCCAGTGATGTTGTGGAATTCAAGCATCTTCAACATCTCTTTAGTCTCTGGATCCACTTCAATGATGTCTTGTTCCAAAGCTGAAACCTCGGGCACATAATTGTCACGTCTTTCACGTTCTTCCTCTTGAAGTTTGATGGAGATTCCACGGACTTGTGAGTGACGTAAACGCTTCATTAAATGCGTTACAAAACTGCGAATGAGAAACAAATTAATCTTTCATCTGGATGTAAGAGCAATCCATTAAATGGAAGCTCACCCAGCAATCTTGTTTCTCAACGGTTTTGTTGGGATGATTGCAACTTCCTCAACAATGCGTTTGTTGGTATGGAAATCCAAAGTCAAACGAGTGTAATATTTTTCAATGATCACCTTCGAGGCTTTCTTCACGGTTTTGGTTCTGACACGACCCTAAAAACAAGAAGGAAAATGCTATAACTAAAGAATCTTAACAAATATTTTCTAGTACTTACCATTTTGGAATACTTCAAGTATTACTCTGTATAGAAAATGAAAGAAAATACATTAGTTTTCTGATAGTTTAATTATAATACAATAAAATATTGGAAGACTTTTAATATCGGTCTAACCTCGAAAAAGTTAAAAACTTAATACTTTGGTTTATGATAGTATAATTACAAAATTAAGTTAATCAATATGAGATCTGATAAAAAGTGTTTCAATTATAACGTTAATTTATAATAACTGTCTAATAAAACTTCACAACAAGTACACGATTTATAGGAAAATTAAATTTGCTTTTCAGGAAAATATATTAAAGATATTTCCTTTAAAAGCGCTTTTAAATTAGATATTTCTATGTTTTCAAGATGATTTCATCTTAAATTAAGTTTCAAAGCACAATTCATCTTTAATACTACTATTTTAAAGGAGAAAATTAATTAAAATTATTAGATTCCATACCTCGCTGAAGAAGTAAATTTCGAAAAGGAAGAAAAAGTCAAGTTACTTGACTTCATTGCAAACCATGTAAAGGGTACTCAACTACAGCAAACATTTTTCCTTCACTTTTAAAAAGTTTATTAATTAAAATATGATTCAGGATTTTTTATAACATGGTAACAGGAGTAACAAAAATGTATTTATGAAATTTATTCTGAATCTGTTTCCATTATTTCTTCATCATCGTTGTCTTCTAAGAAAATATAAGGATCTTCAATATCTTTCCCGTTGTGAACAACAGTAACAGTCATTAAATCGTTATATGGAAGATTTGGAAGAAGTTTTGGTGTGATGAAGAAATATTGGCTTTGTTGTGGTTGGCAAGTAATATCAACGAGCATTTGAAAGATTTTCCGTTCATTTTTAGGATCCATTCCTTGATTAATTTCGTCAACACAGCGAAATGGAACGTTTGTGATATGCTGAAGACTTAAAGTGTAACAAGCAATAGCAACAGCTCGTTCTCCTCCCGATTGAACATGGCGATTCAATGCTTGCAATCTCTCATTATCTCGATATTGAACTCGAATTTGTATGCCATATTCTGCATAATCTCTCTGAAAGTTGACACAAATTATAAAATATAAATCATTAAAATGTCAAATTTCTTTCTTTTAAACTCACCTCCTCATTTCTGGTCATTTCAACTTCACCGACAAAACCCATTTTACTGAAGAATAATGAAAAGTTTTGATTGACAGTTTGAACAACAGCTTGAATAGCTGGAAACCATTTTTCATGTAACTGCTGAAGATTTCGTTCCATTTTTTCCGTCTGACTTTTTTCGTTAGCAAGAAAATTCTCTAAAGTTTCAATTTGCTGTAAGCGATTTTCATATTCGGTGATAATACGAGGATCAATTCCGCGAATACATTCAACTCGTCCTTGAAGTTCATCGATGGTATTCTCCAACTCATCAAGAGAATTACTTAACTTGTCAAATTCAGATTTATATTTAAAATGTTTGCTAGTTGGTTCTAAGTTGTCAGTCGATTTCAAAGCTTCAGTCTTACTTGTTTGCATTTGTGTTTCAGATATATCATGGGCTTGTTTAACACGATCATAAAGTAATTTTGTGTTTGCAATGTCACGTTGAATGACTTCAATTTGTTGACTTAAGGCTCGATTATTGTCATCAAATTGTGTCAACTCCTTCTGAGCTAAAACAAGTTTACGCTCAAAATCTTTCAATCGCTTAAGTAATTCAGCTATGACCCCACAAATTTTTAAATATCTTTGGAATAAATTGCTGATGTTTGTTTTATGTTTGGATTGCTCTTCTACAACATTTATTTTTTGATTGGCCATTGTTTGAAGATCAATTTCCTTCTTTCGTAATTTATCAGAACAATGTTTGACATTGTCAATAATCTTCTGAAGACGTTGCTTTTCACCTCGTATAACATTGACTTTCTCTTCAATTTCTCCAAGTTGTCTCTCTAATTCTGCTTTTGAATTTTGACATTCTTGAGCTTCACGTTTCCATCGTTCTAAATTTTTACATTCTCGTTCCTTGAGATGTTTATTAATGCCGACATTGAGAATATTTTTATCCTGAATGGGGACAGAAGATGTGGATTTGGCATTTGAATATCTTGACACTGTAACATGAAAGCGATGATTTGTGGAGAAAAACAGACGAAATTCACTAGGAACTTGAGAAGCATTTTTGAATGTGCTGTCATCGCCAATTGCAACTTTGTGAAGATTATTAAGCTGACATAAATAATTTATGATAGGTGCTGGTCCTTCGATCATGTCAATCATATATGAATAGAGACCCAACGATGGTGAATAATCTGTAATGCTTCTTGGTGGATGAAAACGAATCTGATCAGTATCATCAGCATAAGCAATGTTCACTTGAAGTTTCATTTCATTTCGGAATTTTTTAATCAATTGTTTCATATCGTTTTTATCTGTGCATACAAAGGACACCAAATCTCGTAATGGAATTGTATTCTCAACATATTTGGCACATTCTTTCTCTTTCACTGTGATTTCAATCATTATTGGGTTGAAGATTCGTCCCTGAAAGTTATCACGATTGGATTTCAACCATTCATAAGCCGTGTAAGCATCTTCAAAGTTGTTTCTTAACGTTTCAATTCGTAAACGTTGAGTATCACCAAGCAGTGTAATTTTACGTTCACAGTTTCTGATTGATGGAATTATTGATTCTTCAAGTTTATTTGTAATTTTATTCCGCTGCTGTAATAATTTTTCGCTCGATGTTTTGTTGGATTTTATTTGTGAATCATATCTTTTCATTTGAACTTCCACATCGCCAGCTTCTGTCAAACACTTTTTAGCATCTTCAACTTCTTTTCTTTGAAAATTTATCAACAGTTCAATTTCTTTTATTTGTTTCTGATGATCTCGAATAGAATTATCAATATTTTTCATATATCGTCGTGATTCGTTCATTTCACGCTCTATATTGTCTGAAGCTTCATGATGTTTACTTATTTCTGCTGAAACTGTATTCATGTTGGTTCTTGCTTTTGAAAGAGCTTCTCTGAGCTCATTTTTCTTTTTTGTCAAATCTTGTTTTTTCTTTTCTAATGGCTTCATAGCGTCAGTTTTTTCTTTTAATTTATTGGTCATCATAAGGAAATCCTTCTTCACCTCTTGATAAGCCATATTGGCTGTATCAAAGAGACACCAAGCTTTCTTCTTCATAAGTAACTCAACTTTCTTGATCAAATCTTCTCTCAGCTTATTATTGTCAATGACTAGTCGAAGTTGATTATTACGATTGCGATTATCTTCAAGTTGAACTAGGATATTATCATGTTGCTTGGAATTATTCTTTTGTTGGTCGCGTATTGTCAAAAGACTTTGGAATGCATTGTTAACTTCTTCAGAACAAACACTTGATTGAGTATTCCGTAAAAGTTCTTGTGGATTGAGTTTTGTGAAGTCTTGAACACGATCTTGTGGAAGAAACATGCACAAGTTATCTACCTGAATGTTGAACTTTTTAACTTCTTTTAAGTATTCTTTTATTCCAACTTTTCTACCGTCTACCGAAAAGATTTCTTTGGATTGTTTGTCAAAATTTCGATGAAATATTGTAGTTTGGTCATTGATGCCTGAAACTATTTCTATTTCGATATGGGCTTTATTCTTTCCATTCTTGACATAATCAGAAATCTGAAATGAACCCAAAATTTTTTTAAAGCCGGAAGTTTTACAATTTAAAACAACTCACGTCTTTGCTTCGGGAAAGTAATGCAGGCTTTCCACCACAACCAAGAATAATACCAGCAACGATTGTTGACTTGCCTGTGCCATTAGGACCAATAATAATGTTTAAATTCTCGCCGGGAAAAAATTTCAATTCATCGTAGGTTCTGTGAAAACAAAATTAAAATTTTGGCGCCAATATTAGTTTAAGAAATGCAATCAGAAAAACAATTGAAACAATATAAACTTCAACTTACAAAAAATCACGTAAAGCTAATGACTTTATTTTGCCAATTTCGTTTGTATTCATGCTTGTGTTTTCATTAAAAACTAATTTAAATGTTGATTGTGAAATACTGTTTGCATTTTCGAATGTTTATTTCGATTATGGTTACTTGATAATTTCGAAAAGATGTTCCGAACAATTTTGAATTTAAAAGGTTCGTTATTTTAGCGTTTTTTCATGCAAGTAGATATTTGCTTGAATTAAAATTTCTATTGATGTTAATAAAAATTAGCAGGAATGCAAAATAAACAAACGTCATGTTTCACAATTCTGTTTAAAAGTTTTAATGCTCAAAAAGTTTTCGTTCCAGAAACATTCAAATTTGCATGTTTCGTCCTATCTAGGTAAAAATTAGAAATCACATAAAGAAATCATACAGAATATCATAGCAACCGCTTTTTGTTGATTTTTCTTTTAGGACGAGCCTTCAATATTCAAAATTTAGAAACAAATAACATTATTTTATAAATTTTCAGTATAAAATTTTAATAAATTTTCAAAATTCCTAGTTTAACTTTCAAATGAATTCAAAAATGTCTAATCTTAAAGATGAAAGTGTTGATAAAAACATTGGAATAATATCAATGCATGATTTTTTACATTTCTTGAAAGTAAGTAGGAAAATCTTAATTACATTTTTTAATACAAAAACAACTTATTTTTTACTTTTAAAGATAAGCTCACGAGTAAATGAATCACTTGAAAAGAATACCAAACTCGATGGTCAATTTAGCTACGATCAACTATCAAAAAATGAATTCATTAATAATCTTATGAAAAAATATAAAAATCATTCCGACACATCCGTGATTACAAAAAATGATAATCAGAAGGAGGATGACAACAAAAAAAGAAAACGATTGAGTAAACCTCTAAGTAAAAATATTTCACTTAAATCAAAAGTCAACGAAAGTATTGATTCGACTCTTTTCCCAAACTTAAATCCATGTTTAAGCGAGAAGTTGGATGAAGTTTTGAATCAAGGAATTCTAGACTCATTTTTGCCACTTATCTGTAATCAACAACAAGCACAATCAAAAGTAGCAGTAGCACCATCATCTCAACTTGCTGTTATCCCTTCAGCAAATCCCTCAACTAGCAGTAATTTGAATAAACCTAAACATTTGATTCAAAATCAAAAATCATTCACAACGATGGATCCCAAATTAATGTCATCGAGTGAAAATGGAATAATTTTCAGTCAAAGAAGTTTTCGCAAAAAATCTCCAATTGTTGTTGATCAAATAAAAATTTCAGAGCCGGAACTGACGATTCATGTATGTGATGAAGTGAAGAACGTTTCCAGAGATTTCACCTGTCCACAGAAATTGTTGGTATCTAAAATGGGATATTTTGCTGATATTACTAGTGGTCAAAAGCTAGAAGACATGGACATTTCTGTTCATTGTGACTTAGAAATATTTGATTGGCTCATTAAATGGGTGAAAAAAGAAATGATGGCATCTCCAGATAATTGGCCAAAATTGAGTGCTTCAAATGTAGTCCCGATTCTTGTCTCTGCTAGCTTTCTTCAAATGGAACCGTTGCTGCTTGATTGTCTATCATATTGTCACGCACACTTGTCAGATATTGTTAAAGTTTCACCAAATCTTGGTTGCTTGAACGACAATATCATATCACGATTAGCTGCCATGTTCACCAATCTTGAACTTGAAATGGTTAAAGATAAAAAAGATCGCATTCAACCACGTTTATTCTGTAAAATGATACAAAGCCTTTGTGAAGTAGAAGCTCAATCAATTCGTGGTCATTTCGCAACACTTGCTGGTCTTTTTAGATGCTTGAAATGTGGAAAATATATGACGCAATCCGTAGCAAGTTACGTTCATTGCATCCCACAAAATATGAAGCTGAATCGATGGGGTCAAATCATTGCTTCACATCAGGTAGGTTTAATTTTTATTTATTATCTTCTCTTGGAAGAAAAATTATTTTCTTAATTTATTAGCGTGATCAAAATTGGAGTCTATCGAATTATATCTCAAATCTGTATAAAGATTTAAAATCATGGCGACGAGTGTATTGGCGTTTGTGGGCAAATTGCCATTTTCTTTACTGTTCTATTTGCGATACACATTTTCCTACATCTCAAATGCAATGGTGCATGTTTCATCCTGATCTTCCACAATTTCTTGGATCACCATCAGAAGGTGGAAAGATTGGTCGTTTTCCGTGTTGTGGACTTCAACTTGCATATCGTTATGAGAACATAACAGTTCCTTCTAGTGGCTGTCAGTTTCGTGATCATTGTGTCGTGGCTGAGAACGATCGTGATCGAGCAATCTTAATTTTGGTGACGCAGGTGTCAGAAAATAATAATTCGATGATGTTTGAGCCACCACCAGTATCGAAATTGTCAACATCTAACAGTTCTCAAGAACCATGGTGGAATGGAATGTCGATATTGTCGAATCGAACGAGACAAGGAATATTGCCAGCTCTACATTTTGAAGGTAAAAGTTAAGTTTTGTTTCTAAACATGAATTTTAATGATTGTATAATGAAATATAAATTTTGAAGGTGATTTTCGATACAACAATCGCAAATATCGTCCACATTCGGTTGCTGATAGTTCAAGTGATGAAACTGAATCGAGTGATTGTCTTTTACAAGGATCAAGATCAAATTTAAGTAGCACAAGTAGCAGTGATGGTGAAGAGTCTGAGTGTTCTCCAAGTCGACGAGTCGCTTCTGGTGGAAAACGAAGAGTTAAGACAGGATTTCGTAGTTGGTCAAAGAATTTGTCCGCAAGAAGCAATCAAGATAATCAAAGAGAATTTGAAGAAAAAGCGATGAAACAAATAATTTCGTTAGTTTCAAAGAAAACAGGAATATCAGACCAGACTCAAAATAATTTAAACTACAATCAGGGTGGAACGTATTTTGCATTAGAGAATGAATGGAAGGAGACAATTAAACAAAGGAACTTGAATGTTAAAGCTTCAAAAGCAAAATAAATAAGTTGAGGTAGGTTGAGGTTGGAGAACATATTTCAGTCTTTGGTGGTTATTTAATTTAATAAAAATATTGAAAACTAAAGCAATTTGATTGATTTTTTCTTACATCTCACAGAGGGTACTAGCTAGGACATTAGTCAAGTTTTCCAGTTACGCCATATCGTCTTCATCTTTTTTAGAAATTCTAGAAGACTATATGGCGCAACTTTTGACTTCGTAATGTTTATCCCGGAAATGAGTGGGAGTGACTGAAAATTAGTCATGAAGTCACCCATGTCCGAGGTGAAAAATATATGTGAAAATGAGGTTAGATTATAAAACTTAAAATTTATTTTATTATTCTTTTTAAATTAAAAATCTGTAAAAGTAGAATGCAATATTAATAAATTATTAATAAATTTTAAAAAACAGTTTGTTTTATTTCATTAAAAAATATATAATAAATGATGTTTTCTTTTCGATACTTTTTATATGAAAATTGCTCAACTTTGAATGCAATTTCGAGAATCCAATGCAATCCAAAAAGTAAGTATGAGGTCATGTGCATGCATCTTTCAGCTTTGCAAAAATGTTTATTTCAGCTGCGGTAACTTGCGGCAGTGAAAGAAAATGCAAAATTTGTGAACGCATATTTCGCAAAATTTCGCCATTTTTGTATGAAAATGAAAATGACATTTTAGAAAGTTGCCTTTGAAAAATGTCATTTTT